GCCCCTCTATATATATTATACATGGCCGCCCTCGCTCTTCCTCCTCGCTATAAGTGAGATAGTTTGCCTAAAATGGATTCCTTGACACTATACGTGTCCGTGCTGGCCTTGCCGCTGGGACTACTAGCCTTGCGCACTGTGTACCATCTGTACTTCCATCCGCTGTCCAGGTTCCCTGGCCCAAAACTCGCTGCTGCAACATTTCTCTACGAGTTCTATTACGATGTGATAAAAAGCGGCATGTACATCTGGGAGATCGAGCGTATGCACGAGAAATACGGTGAGTATATAGATCGGATATCAACATCAAGCACCCACGCCAACAAAAACAACCCAGAATATACAAGTCACTAACACCTCATCCAGGTCCAATCGTGCGAATCAACCCACGAGAAATCCACATCAAAGACTCAGCCTACTACGACGAAATCCACGCCAGCGCCTCGCGCAAACGCTCCAAGGACCCTAAATATGCCATAGCCTTCGGCGCGCCCAACTCTCTCGTAGGAACAATAACCCACGACCACCACCGCTTCCGCCGTGGCCTGCTGAACAATTACTTCTCCAAGCGCTCGGTGGTAGACCTTGGCCCATCCATCCACGACAAAGTCGACAAGCTAGTCGCGCGCTTCGAGCAAGCCCACCAAGCCGGTGACGTGCTACATCTGGAACTAGCCTTCGCTGCGCTGACTGCAGACGTTATTACCGACTACTGCTACGGCTGGAGCTACGGCTACCTAGACGGCGAGAAGGGGTCGAAGAGTAACGACCTCGTCGATGCTGTTAATGGGCTGATGGTTATGTTCCACATTAACCGGTTCTTCCCGTTCCTTATTTCTGTTTTCAGGAATGCGCCGCCTAACCTGCTGCGCTGGCTTCAGCCACATATGGCGGATTTGTTTGATTTGAAGGCGAGGCTTAGACAGCAGGCGGATGATACTCTAAAGAAGCAGGGTTTGCGGAAGGTCGATCCTGAGGCGAGATTGAATATATTCGATGCGTTGACGAGTTTGGAGTTGCCGGAGAATGAGAGGACGCTTGATCGCCTGGAAGATGAGTCTGCGCTGTTGCTTGGCGCTGGTACCGAGACTACGGCTAGGTCCATTACTGTCGCGATGTTTTATCTCATCCACAGTAAGGAGATCATGGCGAAGCTGCGCGCGGAGTTGAAGACTGTGCTGGCTACACCGCTGTCTAAGGCTTCGTGGGTGGATTTGGAGAAATTGCCTTACTTGGTGGGTTAATTGTTTCTGGGCGCTTTCTTATTTTCGTTGTGGATTACTGATTTTCGTCGTTCCCTGAACTAGACGGGTGTCGTCAATGAAGGTCTGCGTCTCAGTCACGGCATGACAGCTCGGTTGGCTCGTGTTTCACCGAATGAACCCATGCTCTATCAGGATTGGGTTATCCCTGCAGGGGTAAGTGCACTGACTGACTGGGTGTAACAGTCCGGTTCGGGTCCCCTTTACTGGGGAAGTTGCTGATAATTGTGAATTATAGACTCCGGTCAGTCAGTCAAACTACTTCGTCCATATGGATCCCAAGCTCTTCCCCGAGCCGGAGAAATTTGACCCGGAGCGTTGGATTCGTGCCGCGGAGAAGGGGGAGTATCTGAGTCGGTATATTGTCTCGTTTACCAAGGGGAGCAGACAATGTCTGGGAATGAAGTGAGTTGCGCTTATGCATCACCAGCGATTTGATATACTAAGGCTTTATCTAGTCTTGCCTATGCGGAGGTCTACTTGTCTTTGGCACATATCGCTCGTCGCGTCGACTTTGCACTGCACGAGACTACCACTGATAATATCTGCGTTTATCGTGATATGGGTATTGGGTGCCCCAAGGTTGGTTTGTTCGGTGTTAAGGCTACGGTGGCGGGTCTTGTGGAAGAGTAAGGTTGTGTAGGGTATCTCTGTGATGACGATCGTGATGATTATGAGATGTATGGGAGTGGAGCTTGTACTTTTTTCGACATTAGGGTCTTTTGCAGTGCCTTTTGACGTGCGTTTTGGTTATGCAGGTAACCGTATTGTGTGGGGCATGTTGCACTTGATATGTACTCAAGGTACTCCATGGCTCGATGATGATGGATATTCATTCTGGGGGGTTTTGCGGTTTTTGGGGTTTTCAATTGAAACCTAATGAATGCACTTGTGAAAATGTTCATTGTGTATGTCGAGTCAACATCTTTTGCTTTGGTGACGATTTGGAGATATATCTATGTGCATCCATCACAGAGTGAGTTATATACAGTCATGTCCTTCCTATCACAGGGGGCCAACCCTGAGCAGCGATCCTAAAGGACAGAACAAGAAAGAGAGAAATAGCAAATACGACTATCTTGGCTACCAAAAAATTTATACATATATACACAAATCGATCCTTACAACCATAATACCTGGTGCATTTCGGAGTGACTAGAACGGGTAAAAAGTAAACCGGCGGCTTTACCTGCCTTGGAAAAGACCCCGTTAATCTGAAAGGATAGTCGGAAAAATGATATTTCCAAATTACAATGGTTTACCAAAAATATAAGGAATATTCCAATGAAGCCCTAGGATGCCACCGGAGGTGCCCCTGGAAAGTTTGTAAAACTGTGGAATTAGTCCCTGCTAGGCAGATCCACTTGAACTATATATGAGAAGAATAGTCGGCCCCGTTTGCGGCCTTGTGGCGTCTTTTTGAATGTCTTTTTCGGTGTCGTTTTTATAGATATTTTACCCGCCTTCTTCGAATTCATAGATATACAGCAGAAGAAGGCGGAGAAAGGCCGAGTTTGTGAAATGGAGTTTTCTCTATCTGACTAGGCTTACTATATGTTCCTTTTCCACACGTATCTCAGTACATACGACCATAGGGTGTGGAAAACAGGGCTTCCCGTCCGCTCAGCCGTACTTAAGCCACACGCCGGTGAGTTAGTAGTTGGGTGGGTGACCACCAGCGAATCCTCACTGTTGTATGTATTTTTCTTTTTGCTACTTTAGATCAACCGCGTTTGCAGTCTTGTGATGTCTTTTTAGGTGGTCTTTTTAGATGTGTATGAAGCCGATGCAAGCGAATTTCCTATGTATAACATGTGATGTAAGCGAGATTACCGGGGGAGCGCAATTTATTTAAATTATGAGCAAATTCATAAGGTGTGGTTATACTGGCAACCGTTATTAGCCATTTCGTTAATTGTAAGATTATATCCTTACGATTATATTAAGCTGTTTATTTAAGTTTTTTCTTTTTGTATACCGCTTTTTGGTACTAAGTGTTGTTATCAAAATTAACGTTCAATAAATAAAAAAAGTAATATATTACCAAAGTTTCAAAAATACAATTGGTGTTGAGCGTTCCATATGATTATCAGAACGGTTGTCTAACAGTTCTTTGGACTCCTATCCATCTCTGATGTAACTAAATGTGAGAGAAAGGATCCAGAGGATACTACAATATGTGGGGTACTCTGGAAAAGTCTCTGAACGCGTAAAGAAGAGAGAAACTATCTACAAGGTACTAGACCAATGTAATGGGAGAAACCAGAGAAGTCATATGACTATTAATAAAATAATCGTATCCTTTTATGATAAGTATACATCGTGGTGCTAACTTTTAGCCAAGCGTGATGAAGAGCTCAATTCGAAATAATGCCAAGAAACAGATGCATTATATTCACTCGTCTTTGATATTAGAATTGTTCACTTTTCATACAGAATAGATTAAAGAATACTAATTTATCCCTCATGTTGCCTACCTATGTACATATATATATATATATATATATATATTATAATAGAAATACACGAAACATTCATATATCATTGCAATATTGCTCGCTACTGCGGTCTCTTTTAAAATTGACTCTAGATGACCGACATTGGAAATCCGTCCCCACGTCCCCACGTCCCCAAGTGATGACTTGTTGAATTGAATATTCAATGAATTGAGCAGTATATGTAATATGTATCATTCAGTCTCTGCCAATATTAGGCAGGCCATAAAGCTAGTGTTATTAGCGGGATCATGCTCGATGCAACCCAACAGACCACAACACTGTATGCACGATCAAATCGAAAGATGCGGATCAGATCTGACGCGATCCTACGAATATGTGAGTACAATGCAGCAATAAGATAAGTCAATATAACCAGTCGCAATGCAAATTAAGCTCGTACATATTATAGTCCGATTGGCTAGCGCTGCAAGGGGTTGCTAGGGTTGCTAGGGGATACCTCCTGCGTGCCAGAACATCCCCTACACATTCATCGCCCTTTGAATCAAATTTTGATAGGATCTGATCGCATTTTGTGTACTCCGTACTTGGGCAAATGTACAAAGTAGACTTCCTGAAGGAAGACTTTGTTCTATACTTAGTGTAGTACTAGTATACAAGTAGTTTCTTCTTCTTCTTCTTCTTCTTTTCTTCTTTCTAAGGACCATAAACCAAACAAGATAGAGCCCGTGGGCCAACTTTAAACACAATCTAGTTACGAAAGAGAATCGCACCTAGTGATCCCGGCTGTAAAATTTACGTACTTTTGACTCTCATCCAGGAAGGATCTCAAAGAAGCTTTATGTGCATCACGATGTCACATTGCCTCCAATGTCATCAGCCGTTGAGTTTGAAAGCTTTCTCTACCTAAAATGTTGATCGTTAGATTTATCCTCCAGCATTTGACGCATTTGACAAGCTTTTCTCTTTCCTGGGCAGGTCCACGGGCGATCATTCCACAGGAATGGAGCATATGTGGTACATGGAGCCCTTTGCAATCCTCCGATAGGCATAGGCTCCCTGTTATGTGGTCGTCATCCCAGCCATGTTGATCCTTATCAATAAGAGCGCGAAGCATGGGAGACGCAAAAACAGCAATCACAACAGTCCATTCAGAGCCCTATGTCGCCTACATAAACGCCACTGTAACCCTTTCTCCGAACCACAGCCAGTCCTTCATTTGCTTTTTTGACCATCTATACTCTCATTTATTCCAAAAACCTAGGTCAATATACCAATAAAAATGCACGTCTCATACATCTCGCTGGCGTTCTTCGCCATCGGCACCATCGCCGCCCCCGCCGCCCCCGTCGCTCCTGCTGTCCCCAAGCCTAGCAACGACTTCGGAGACGTCATTGGCCGCTTCCCTTTCAACCCAACCGGCTCCTCCACCATCGATGACAACGATGATGGATTCGACGACTTCCCTTCCGCCCTCGACGCAATGCACCAGGCCTTGGCTGAGAAGCAAAAGTCCGCTGAGGCTGCTCAGCTCGCGTCGACCACCCACGCCGTGTTAGCCAAGCCCACTTCCACCCACGGAGTCACAAACTTCCCTGCCCCCGTCGTCTCCCAGGCCTCAACCCTCTCTCACCCCACCCCTTTCGCCTCGCAGCCTCCTGTCATTTCCAAGGCTGCCCCCACTGACCTCCCTACTCCATCCCACGGCGTCATCCCCACTCCCGTCGGCGGCAGCTCGGCTTCTCCTTCAAGCGCAACTCCCTCCCCTAGCGCACCTGCCGCAACTGCCGCCCCTGGCCCCCTTGGCCACCTTGTCGAGGGTCTTCCCCTTGTTGGAAATCTCGTTGCTGGTCCCATGGATCGCCTCGGTCTCCGTCGTTAAGACCAACATCTACCTGATGTGGTTTTAGTGCGGTGTGGACCCTTACCTTTATGTGTCAAATGTTCATGTCGGTCACTTCCGCTCTTTTTGTACTTCAGTATCCCTGAAAATGGATCTGTGGCGCTATTCGTTTTTTTTCTCTGGCAATCGTTCATATATCCAATGACTTTAATTTACTGAATCTCTTTTGGCACTTCAAACATTCTTGAATCTATGACATTGTAACACAGAATTGACCTCAACACATGAAACATAAAACACTCCAACATCATCTCCCTAACTCGACGGGTATCTCTCCCCAGATCCCAACCGATCAATGCATCCCTCAACAGCCTTCTGCATAGCATTGGTCGCCTCTTCCAACAACGTCGTTAAAGGCACCTTCCCAGCCATCTCCGCCTGCACCCTCACATACTCATTATTCAAGACCTTATTAATATTGATCTTGCTAACCCCACAATCAATACACTTCTTAAAGATCTCCTCGGTAAAAGGATCCGCCCCATGAAGCACAAGCCTAACCTCCCGACCAACAGCCTCGTTAATCGACTGCAGTCGCTCATACTCCAACTGAATACCTCTGGGCCCATACTCTCCATGCACATTCCCGAACGCAGGCGCAAGCCAATCAATGCCCGTATCCACAAACTCCCGACTCTCCTCCGGCGTAGTAAGCAATCCCTCAAGATCAGCCGTATCAGCAACACCATCCTCACCACCCTCAATCCGACCAGGCTCTGCCTCTGTGGCAATCCCCCGCGCATGGCAGTACTCCACCAGCTCGCGCGTCAGAGAAAGATTCTCTGCTTTCTCGTAGTGCGACATGTCAACCATGATACTGTCGAACCCGCCCAGGTCCGCCGCGTACCGGATTATCTCGGGTGTTTGCGCGTGGTCCATATGCACGGTTACGGGGACTGAGGCTTTGCGCGCGGCTTCGGCGGCTGCGTGGACGAGCAGGCCGTCGGCGTAGTGGATCGCCCATGGGAAGAGGAGGATCATGGCTGCGGAGCGCTTGGCTTCGGCGGCGCGGACGGTTGCTAAGATGCCTTCCACATTGTAGCAGCACATTGCGGGGATGCCGTAGTGGTTTTCGGAGGCATGGTCCAGGATGCGCAGGGCGCGGTTTTCTTGGAGGGTCATTTTTGGTTTGGGTGGGAGGGTGAAGGTGAGGGTGAGGGCGAGGAGCTGGTTTCGTGGGAAATGAGGGGTTTGAACTTTTGAGGTTTACTGTAGACCGGAGTCCGTAGTGTTATATAGTCGGAGTTGTTGTGTTGTCCGAGTTGGTCGCTTCACGTCCGAGTGTCGGAGTTGTTCCGGGGCTACGTCACTTTGAGCTATTCGCCAGGGCCGGGTAAATTTACTGTGGTATTAGCTCTAGAAGAATGATGGTGATGATTTTCATTTCTAGCAGATTAGATTACACTGGTCGTTCAAAACAGATGAGCTAATTGGTGATGCTAACCTTGAAATGAGGCAATAATGGGCGATTCCGCGTTTACACACCCGCTAACATAGAAATAGGTAGATAGAATCAGGGTTTCTTATTAGGTTTATTTTAGACGTTAAGCGTAAATAACTGATTCTATCAATAACACAAAACCCGGAGGCTCCCTTAATTAGCCATTCAAATAGTATAAAAAGTGATGTTTGGCGTGTGATGTCGGCCAGCTTCCGAACTTATCCCGAGGACTACTACTTCCAACAAGCACAGCAAGAACTAGAACCACCAAACTCACATCTACTAAACGGAAGAAACCATCAAGTTCTAATATCAGACCTTGGCAAAGCCATCAACTTCGGCAAAAGCCAAGGTAAACCCCTCGGACTTGCGCCGAACCATCCCGCGTTTCCCCAAACGTCTTCCCCTCATAAACCCCCACGCCGGCCGGGCGGGTTTATTTTATTTATACATTAACAATTGATATCTCTCCAGGAACTATTTTCCAGTGCCTATTCTATTCAATTGTATACATCATTTTCTCATTTTAACAACCATGTCTAAATCCTCAATCGGCTTCGTCGGCCTAGGCGCCATGGGCTTTGGAATGGCCACACATCTCGTGAAAGAGGGCTACCCAGTACACGGCTTCGATGTGTTCCCAGCCTCGGTAGAGCGCTTCAAGACCGCAGGCGGAGTCCCAGCATCATCACTTCAGGACTCAGCCAAGGATAAGGATTTCTATGTTTGCATGGTAGCCTCAGCGCCGCAAGTGCAGAGCGTCCTTTTCGGGGATGAGGGTATAGTTGCAAGTAAACAAACCACCACCCTAACACAGCCCAACCGCCAAACCAGAAATACAATTAAAAACTAATAAAAAAAAACTAACTCACAAATTCCATCCAGCCCTCCCCCAAAACGCAACCCTCCTTCTCTGCTCCACCGTCCCAGCATCCTACGCCCAATCCGTCGCCGCAGAGCTCGCCTCCCTCGGCAGAAGCGATATATCCTTCATCGATGCACCGGTGTCCGGTGGCGCGCTCCGCGCCGCAGCCGGCACTCTATCAATTATGGCCGGTGCACCGGACGCCGCGCTGGAGAAAGGCCGGTTCCTACTACAGGAGATGTCAGACGCGAATAAGCTGTACCTTGTCCCCGGCGGGATCGGCGCCGGTAGTAATATGAAGATGGTGCACCAGGTACTGGCGGGTATCCATATTCTTGGTGCTAGTGAAGCTCAAGGCTTTGCAGCGCAGCTGGGATTAGATGCTGTGAAGACGGCCGAGGCGATTAAGTCTAGTCCGGCTTGGAGTTGGATGCATGAGAATAGGTTGCAGCGCATGCTAGATGAGGATTGGCATCCTGGTGCTAGTGCTTTGACTATCATTCTTAAGGATGTGGTAAGGATCTTCGTGGGTTTGGGTTTTGTGGCTGAGTTGACTAATTGGGTTTTCCGATCAGGGGATTATCACAACTTCTGCGCGCCAAAGTCAATTCCCGACTCCACTTTGCTCCACTGCCGAGCAGGTTTATTTGTCGGCTTTGTTGCAGGGATATGGGCCTGTTGATGACTCGTCTATGGTGCGACAATACTTTGCTGAGCCGATTATGAAGGTCGCCTCTACGAAGTCTGAGGAGGAGATGGCGGAGGCGCTGCAGCTGGTGTTGGATTTGATGGAGGTGACGAACCTTGTTGCGGCTGCGGAAGCTATTTCATTTGCGCGCTATCTCAAGGTCGATTTGAAGCAGTTTTATACTCTTGTTGCTGATGCTGCTGGTGCTAGTCGGCAATTTATGACGAAGGGATTGGAGATTATTGAGGGGCTTGGAGAGGGTGCAAATGGGGAATCTGAAACTCTTGATGGGGCTAGTTCTCGTCTGGAGAAGGCTGTGCAGAAGGCGCGTGATCTGCACTGTCCTTTGAATCTTGGAAATGCTGCCTTAAGTGTGTTATTCCTGGCTAAGAAGTCTGGGTTAGGGGCTGAGGGGAGTGCTAGTGTGGTAAAAGCTTTTGAACAATAGTGTAATTTCAAAGAATGAGCGATGAGACATGAATGTTTATAGGTCCAAGTATCAATTTTATGCACAGCCAAACTCTATCTGGAATCTTTAATTGCTTTTTCGCGCCACAAGCGCAGCCAACTACCTATAGACTTGACCACATGTCACTCTAACTTGCTACCATACTAGGCAAAAGGACTAGTTTTTACAGCCACGTCTTTCCTAGTCTGATAAAAGAATGTCTTGATAATATTATCAATATGAAATATACATTGTGTGTGGGTATCCAGAGTATTATATCCAACCATAAGAACCAATTATTATGTACGGCCCAGGAGACCCCCAACAAGTGTAGGGATACCCAAAAGCCAGAGAAGAAAAAAAGAACAATAGACATCAAGTATAACAAAAGTCCCGACCCAAATCTTAAAACGACTTAAACTCATTTCGCATGCCACCCACAGTAAACATCTAAACCTCAATTCCGGGCTTCAAAGTGTCGATCGAACCGAGTGAACTCCTGCGGTGATCCTTAATAAACTTAGGCCAAGTATTCGTAAGCACAAGGTACTTAATACTAGCCTCAGCAGCATCAAAGATCGAAGACTCAAAGTCCGCAGGAATATCACCCCAGTACTGCACGCGGTCTTTAATCGACCCCGACATCTCCTCCCGCATAGTCTTTCCAGAGTCGACAGATGCTGGTGACGGCAGATCGAAAGTGAATTTATCAAAAGGACTAGTGGGATCACAGTCGCGTTCCTCGCCGTACAAAAGACGTGTCGGTTTCTCAAAAACGTCTTCCAGCTTCCGCAGGTCCTGGTGCGAGATGTTGACGGGGAACTCGGCATGGCGGACGCTGATAAACTCCGCATAGATGTGCAGAGCGCGGTTGAAGTGTTCGCGGACGATGTCGCGCTTGTTCTTTTCCTTCAGTGCGGTGCCGTCCTTGATGCATTGGGGTAGTCGACTGCGCCATTCCGCGACGCTGGTCAGGAAAACGATGTTCTCGCCGGAGAATTCGCGCAGAGCGGAGAATTCTTGTAGTGGTGCTGGGTTGCGCTCGAGAACGTGCTCGAGGGCGCCCATTGTCAGGATGCTGTCGCGGGAGTTGAACGTACTAGTCGAGCTGTTCGATTTCCAGCCTGACATTATCGAAGCTACCATTGTCATGTCGGAGTGCAGGGACTTTTCTTCGGAGTTGGTGGATTTGACTTTTAGTTCCCAGCGCGCGATCGATTCGAGGGTTTCTTGTCGGAGGGATTGGTGGCGCATTACTTCCCAGCAGGGGAGGAAGACTGTGAAGATTTCGATGAACATGATGGATAGGCAGATCCTATATTATAGTTGCGTTAGAAAAGTAGGTCTTTGTAGTTATGTTGGTTCTAGTACTTACCACTGAGGAGGAACGAAGACCTTGTTGACCGGGGCCATGGCGGGGACATAGAGGCCGATGAGCCACATTGGAGTAGCGTGAAGGCTGGAAATAGCGCAGCCAATGGTCTGCACTCGCCAGCCGTGGGTATCGTGGATGTTGCGAGACTTCCAGAGGACGACGGGGGCAACGATCCAAGACCAGAAAAACTGCGAGACCACACCAGGCCACCATTCCCATCCTGTGCCTTGTGCTGCGAGTATCTCTGCGGGGGTACCATGAACTTCGGTGCCAGGAATACCCCACGAGCTATGGTACTTGCGGGAGATTATCCACATGAGGATAGTGAGGAACACCTGCATGAGATCGCGAGTTAGATAAAATTTGTTATAGATATGAAAAAGTGTGAAGATATTCATACCTGAGCAAACATTGCGATGGCGACATAAATAAGAATCTTAGTTGTATATCCAAAGGCACGGAGCCGGTTAATCAACCCATTCTTGTGTTCCAAGGCAGGCGGTTCAGTAAAACGGTATCCATCCAGAGCATATTTTCTCTGGAGCTTTGCGACATGTTGGAAGCGAGTGTTAGAGCCATGGAAGAGCGCCATACCACAGGGCAGCAGGGTTCCCATAAGCCAATACGCGCAATCACCCGGCAGGATAGCGCCGATCATGGTTGCGAACTGGGTCGGCATCCAGTATAAATGAAGGATAGCGATCGAGGTCAACGACATGGCAAGGCCGCGAATGCGAAGCGTCGGCATATCACGGTGAGCGATCAGATAGGCCATGCCAGCCACGAGGGCAGAAGTCCAAACGCATGCCCAGACAGCCCACCAGATGGTGACGGGGCCGAGGTCAATTTGGGCCTTGGACTCGGCCGTAATACCATATTCTGACCCCATGTCGAAAAAATGCAAGTGCTTAAGGAATGTGAGTGAAGTTGGGTAGCGCTTGATCGTGTCCAGGTTGCCGGGTCGTCATCTTCTTATGTACAACATCGCATATCAATGAAACTGGAGGCACGGGGTAAGCACTTGCACGAGGAAGTGGGCCCCTAACCAGTTTTTTTCGGCGTCTGAATGTCGATCATTATGGCTGGGATATCCATTTCACTCCATAGTTCTGCTGGATAACATTACATTGTGGAGTGCTTCAGGCAATTGAGGTCAATAACCGCTCAGTTATGGTCTCGCTTGAGTTCCGTTACTCCATCAAAGTTGTGGCCCGTCTGGTCCCGTTCATGAATGGGGAATATCCACACTTGCTATTTGTCAATTGATCGGAGACTATGATTGGTTGAATAAGATGAAATTCGAGATCAAGATCTCTTGGCAGCACGAAGTCTCCCCTTTTTTATTGAATCCGCCCTCGACGCTATTGATTTTCTCAAAAACTGTGTTCCGTGAAGAGTCGATCGTAGCCCTAAGAGGCAGGCCTCTACAGTATGTGAATGACGTTGTAAATGTTCATTTACACATTGTGTATATAATAAGTGCAATTATTTCTGGCCTTTCTCTGCTCATTAATTCCCGCAAAATCCTAGAATGTTTCAGATGCAACCTCGTGCATATGTCAAATTAGAGACCTTCTCTACTATTGGCGGAGCTCCTAGTCCAGGATCACACTGGGATGCAAGATAGTAGCCTAGTCATTGATTTAGTTCAAAAACGCCCAGGATGTAACAGTATCCAAATTTAGACTAGCATATAAAACCCCAGGAGACTATCGTTTTTACAAAAAAATCAATTGCGATCAAATTTGAGTCCATTCTATTCTCGTTCTCGCTCTAAAACAGAGAAAATGGGCAAAAGGTAAAAAGGATCAGTTTATTCTCTGCCTCAATATACAAAGAAAGAAAGAAAGGAACGGAAAGGCGAGCAAAGAAAATACCATCTAAAAAGAAATCCTGTACTCCTTTATCGCCACTTAATACGTGAAGGCTCAAAAAGCCCCAATGCCTTCGCCTCATCCTCGGAGTCCGCCTGCAAATACCCAGAATACTTAATATCAAATCCAGGAACAAGCAGAGAATCCTTCAGGCCCCTATTCACAACCTCCTCCTCCGATCCCGCATACATATAACCGTAATACGTGTACTGCCCCGCCTCGGGGATTGACACATCGCTAACCTCGGTCTTCGCACAACAATCCCCGTCATGTTCAGGATCCTTCAATCCCATTTGAAAAGCCTCCAACTCACAATAAGCCTCCACATAGCCATGATACGTCCCACCATAGTAATCGCCACATTCCCCAGGAACAGGTTCCGCACCACAGAGGCCCATATGTCCAACCGCCTCCAGAGAGACCGCACACATAAACCCGGTGTACCGATGACGCACGCGCTCTGGCATAGTAAAAAGCCCATCCTTGCAACACCCCCATGGATGGCTGATATTAGTGAGACCCATTGCCCGGGCGTGTTGTAGATCATCCGCCCGCAGCAGCCCATAGAACCTTCCTTCTTCACCGGGAATCCGTCGGATATCCTCCAGCCAACGTTTTTCTGCATGCACCTCCGACGGTGCATGCATCACTCCGTAATAGAGATGGAAGTCGGCGCGTCGCTCCGCACAGCATCCTCGCACGTGGATTGGGTCAAGTAGACCCTGGTGGTTTGCGTCGTCTTCAGAGTCTGCTAGCATGAACCCTTCCCACTCACCGGAGTAATTGCCGTATGGCCTGACCTCGAGTAGACCTTGTTGGCGGGCGGATTCTTCGCTGGCGAACATGCTGCCCATGTAAATGTGCTTATTGGGTTGGGGCAGGGGGTCTGGGGTTGGTGAGGACCGTTGGTTCTCAGGGGATGTGCAGGTGCGTGGGGAGATGGGGATGCTGGCGTTAGCGGTGGTTTCAGTGGTGGAATCCTTTGCTTGCCACATTCGGTCGAGGGACTCTGTATCCCAGAGATGGGGGTCCTCTTCGATGCCAAGCTCGGCGTTACGCTCGCGCCGGTCGTCTTGGTCCTTCTTTAGAAGGGCGGTGTCTAGGAGCTTGGTGATGGCTACCTGTCGGGCTTCTTTTTCGTTGTTTTCTTCGATGCGCTTCAGAACGGTCGCTTCAATACGCTGCTGCACAAGGTCAATGTCAAGAGCGGGCTCGTCACATGAGTGATGGCCAACTTCAGGGTTATCAACTGGGCCCAGAGGAGGAGTGTCCTCCAGAGCAACATGGGGGTCATCTACATCAGCAAGGTAAATGTTCTCGTCCCTACCGGATGCGCCAGTATCCTGCTGCTTTTGGTCAGTGCCCACCTCCCGCTGTCGCTGCCGCTTCTCGAGATACTCGTCAATTCTCAGCTTAAGTACATTATACCTTATCAAAGAAGATCCGCAAAGCGAAGAGCCAGAACTGTCTGTGTCGCAGCTGCTTGCATCACTGGGGGATGTACATACAGCGCCCTCGGCGTCTAGCAATTCAGTCTCAACACTTTCCCTTTTATATCCTAATTCGCCGGCAACAGCACGCGAGCAGATCTGACCATTGTCGCTGTGGCCAGCACTGTCTGCGTCCCCATTACCTGAACTACCAACGGCAGCACCCAAGAAGACCTGACCATTGTCGCTGTGGTCAGTATTACTTGTGTCCCTGTCGTCGGGGGTGGAATCACTCACCATGCGCGCGTTAACTTCGATAATTTGGTTAGCATCCAAGCCCTCAATTGTCCGGTAAGAGTTTGAGGTTTGGGTCTGGTCGTCTCCGTGAGAGGAGAGGTTCTTGGCCCACTCGCTCTCACACTGCACACACATGCTGGGCTGGGAGGAGAGGAGAAGGTCATGGGAGGGTTTAATCTGGGCGCAGGATGCGCTGCGCTCTGGACCAGCCAGGCGGAGCTTGTTTGTGTATTCTTGGCAGCTGGTCATGCTCCAGTTGGAGATGTGGCCGCAGCTGGGATAGTGGTGATAGGTGTGATTACACATTTTTAAGGAACGGAGGGATGGAAATGATGGGTTGAAAATAGAGAAGTAGAGAGAATATATGAGATGAGATGAGCGAAGATGAGAGGAGTCCTCTGCTGTCATATTAGATCTGCGCGAGGATTGCACTTTATATATCCTTCCATCTAAACGTTAAGGGAGTCTCCGATGGGCGAGTACAAAGCCGAGTCGTGACAAAGGCAGGTAACATAACAAAGATAGGGTTAAGGGCATTGTCTTGGTATCATGATGAAACTCTTTGTTCAAAGTGTCTGTGAACAATTGTTTGTGTGTAAAACAATTTCCCAAGGATCTTTGGCCGATCAGAAGTGATGTTCCAACTATGCTCAAAGAGCCCACCTGGGCGACAATAACCATTGTATCCAACTCAGATGACTCAAACTGTAAGACATAGTAAGTTGACATCATGCTGGAATGGTTTTGATAGATCCATTTCCTAATCCAATAAAAATTGGTACCAAAAGCCATAGAGAGAAATAAATGAGCTGTAATATCCAAGATGTCCACAGGTTGTTGTCCTTTGATGTTAGGCCTTGCTGCCTCAGGCGGATAGAACCTCTACTGCTCACCACAGTTATTCCTCCTTCCTCTCTCGCTCTCTCCCTATTTCCCATATGTCTTTCTCTATTGCTCATATGTGTATCAATCTTGATGGCTTCATCTTTCTTCTTACTATACACACTATCGCAACCATGATTTCCAAAGCTACTACACTATTGGACAGACGGCCACTGAAAGTCGACTATGTGCGAGGGTTGAAGTGATCAGCTACATCAAACCGAGTTGAAAAACCCGACAATGGTCTTGGCCCCTATTCCCGACAATGCGACAATGCGACAATGCGGAAATCTCTACTAGTGCCTGGGCGATGAATTTTCATTGGTGTAAGCTTCCGGGACAGGAGCTCCTTCCCGAGACATAAGCCATGACGACGATACACCACGCGACCAAGCTTCAGGCGCTGGGAAGCGCAAGAGAAATGACAAAAGCGAACAGAAGGACGCTGTAATTGATTTTTATGACTTAAAGCACTGGGATGCCGCAATTATACGAAAGAACTAGACTCAAAAATGATCATGGCTTGGATCATCCATCTAGCTGCCCGAGATGTCTTATGTGGACCTTTTCCACCCCTTCGAGTCGGGACGTAGCATAGTCCAGCTCCCTTGAAGGCCATATTGTACATCATCAAATATATTATACTTAGAACACACTTTGCAGGCAAATCCACCCGTTACCATAGTACCAATATCTCTAAAGTATTATCTCATGCCATGTATCTCCAGGAAAAACCAGACGAAACAATTGAAAAAAATCACTCAACCCTCCAAATCCATCAAATATCTAACCCCAGAGTCGATCAACCACCAAGCCGCAGTCTCATGCATCCATCTCAAAACAGGTCTCTCCAATGGCATCTTCCTAGCCTCATCCGCTCTCTTCCACATAACAGTCTCACTACAAAACACAACCTCCCCGTCTTCCTCCTGACTACCACATTCCTCATAACTAATCGCCAACCTCCCCTGCACAAAATCCACCGCCTCCATCTTGATCTCAAATTCAACCCGATCCCTCCTCCGTGCCACAACGCGATAAACCCCACAAACCAAATCCCCAACCTCAAAATCCAGCGCGGCAAGATACCCCGCCTTGAAACTGTTCTTCTGCTCCGGTGTTTTACTAGCCATGGCAATTACAAGCGCCTGCGGGAACCGCGAGAAAGCGGTCATGTTGCGGCGCACGAGTCGTTTGAAGAGCAGGTCTGTGGTCTCATTGCTAGGGAGGGAGGCCCGCGGCACAGACTTTGAGGAATGGTCGTAGAGCGTAAAGTACTCATCACTGAGGACGGTTTCTGGGATTGATTCTATACTTGTTGGTTTTGTGGCCGTGGAGAGTGTTCCAATGTGCGATTTGTGCGCTATGCGTTTTGATAGCCGTTCATGGAAGATGTAGAAGTATATTGCCGAGGAGCTGGTTATTATAGCTGTTGCTGTGAAGATGAAGCGGATCATTTTGCTTTTGCTTTTGTCTGGGACGGTGAGACGTCTACAGAGTACAATTGTGATATTTGGGGATTTCTGTTGAGAAAAATGCACGTCAAGTGATCCGCATCATCGGATACGAGGTTTGGCTTGGCGCGTCACCTGTTCCTACGTCTATCATCACATCTGCCAGTTGAATATGAATTCCGCATGTTAAATCGTAAGTAGGTCAAACCTGTGACCATCACATCGAAAAAGAAAATAAGTCAAAAGTTGCACAATGCCAACCTAACACCCAACCGATGACGTCAAACACAAAGTGGTATCAATAGCAGAAAAACAACAGCGAAGTAATAAAACCCTCTCATTTCCTCGCCCCATTCTGCAGAACAGTTACACGCCCACTATTATGCCATTTCGCAAGCTTAGCACCACACTTCGCACAAGAATGCTCAACATCCTTAAGCGAGGACATCAAGTAAGGGATACATCCGAGACAGCAACAAAAGCAAAGAATAGCAGCCCAGCCACTATACAAAAAGTCAACCACACATCCAATATCTCACGGTCGCATTCGCGGACGGAATAAAACTTACTGCGTAGTCCCCCCGCTGATAGGCTCAACACTAGTCATTTCCCGCTCCCCACAAACCGGACAATCAACCGGACACGGCGCAGACTGGACACAGTGCAGCGGCACGGCCGTGAGATATCCACTAGGATGACCAGAAGGCGTGTAGAACTGCTGCGGGTGGCCCTGAAGTTGTGCCTGTGAATGCTGGGGAAGGGGCTGGCCTGGGTAAGACTTCTCGGGTGGAGCTGCCATTGATGTTGACACGTCGTAGGCTGGTGCTTGGCCGATAGAGTCAGGTTCGTGGGGGTATTGTTTTTCTGAGCCGTTTATTGGGGTTGGTGTGTAGCTGGAATGTAGGGTAGATGGGAGGGATTGTCCGGTGTGTGAATAGGTGACGGAGTATGGGCTAACAGGGCCTTGGTTTTGATGGTCTGGGGTGACGACTTCTGGAGCTTCGCTATATGTGGGGGCTGGTGCTGGGGTTGTTAGTTATTTGGTACTATAGGGGGAGAGTGGGAGTTTATGACGTACTGGGTGTTGGCTCGGGGCGTTCGGTGTGTTCCGGCATTGTTGCTGTTTTTGAAAGTCTAGGGAATGGGGACAGGTTGTTTGGTGGGGATGCGAGATGTTTCACTGGTGTAACGGGGGTGGGAAAGGGTTTAAGTGAAAACTGACAGAGCTTGCAGATAATACGATAAATGATAAAAATAGAGCGATCGATAAGATCGTCAAGGGTTAATATGCACAGTGCAGTTCGTATTATAGTGGATACCTGGGGATTCCTTGAGTGCACTGCCTTGGACGGACTTGCGGGATGCCAAGTCTAAGCCCCAGTTTTGTACTTCAGAACGAGGTTTGAAGTATACCTAGGTATGTGCGCATATTTCAATTAGAAGACTCGACAGTATAAGAGAAACTTGTCATGTTGATCTATTGATCTAGTTCTATATTCGCATCCCGTATTGACATGACTTGGGAGGCCTAGATCACAAGTATTATCTACAAAAAAGAGGTATATGGAGTATCGTAAAAGTCTCTTGGGGAATGCGGCTCATTTTGCGACCAATTTCCATTTGCAACAGATCCACATGAAGGGAAATACTCCGCCCGTACTGTAGCTTGCCTTGTGCAACATACTAGAGACGTAGAATTCCTATATTGACAGCGCATATCTTGTGAATATAATTCTGGTATATCGCAGCACATTCTACTTATTATTCCATAGTTCCTCTATGTTGAATACCCCAACAATAAATCAAAACCAAAATCAAACCCTTTTAGACCCCTGCCGGTTTTAAGATTATGACATCCGACGCAGGCATGGTCGTGAGCGCCAACCCAATCACACGGCGGGTTGCGGCTCCGCAGCCGATCAATACCTATCTAGTCACTCCTCTGTCAGCATTTGAAGGCTGAGTGGTAGGTAGGCTTAGATGCATGCTCCTTAATTATGCAGACACTCGTGGGGCTTCGGGATATTTGGCCCCCAAATACTATTCAGAATATGATGTATTCTTATTGCGAGCATTAATTTTGTCATTGTGTCTTGTCATGTACACAACACCAAGTATCTAATAAGTCTATTTTTATGGATAGGAATAGTATATATCTCTTTCTTTTAGGGGTACAAAGCTACATTTAGAACAAGATATAAGAATTCCCAATCCTAAAATAGGTCCTATATAAGAAGAACAAACATATCCCCATCTGCAAATTCATCTGGTTCGAACTGGAGCTGGGTGTGGATTTGCACCTCTCTTCTTTTTTCAGAAATGTTATTTCTCGATATCTCCCTCTATCTTCCCCTCCATATTGTGGTAAAAAATGTTGCTCCCTTGGCTTCATCATCGACTAAAGACAAACAGCAGACCTATCTGATGCCATATAGTGACTTTGAAACGCCAATTTACCAACCTGGATGCTTGTTCATCTAATTGTCAACCAGCACGGTCCTATCAGGTCTGCCCACAAAGATGAAGTACCCGCCTTTGTCTCCTTGTTCAAATAACCGACAAAGGATTTGTAAAGGATATTGCTTTTGTTCCTTTGTTCATTACAACGAAGGATGTCTTTGTCCCATCAACCCAGTCAACGACAACTGAAAAAGCATAAGTAGACGGAAGTTTCCGTGTTTGAGGGTTATCCTTCCATCATCTACAACCATCGAAGACTGTAGGTAAGCAGACCTACATCCATTCACCCTGCTAATCAAGCCCCCAGCCTATTTCTCACCACAGACAGTCACCATGGCCTCGAATAGATACCCCGGCACAAAAGAGGTTCGCAAGATGAACTACGAGAAGCGTTTCCTCACCGCATGCGCCTGCTTTAAGTCCTGTCTATACGAGGAGCTTCGATTTTTGAGTCTCGGGGACGGTCTCCGCTCCGAGATCCTTCCCGTCCTACGCAAGCTGGTAAAGCTGCTGAAGGCCATTTTTGTCCTTGGGGAGGAGATGGCACGGACATGTCCGGATTGTCGCACTGTCCGTAATAGGCCTACGGACCACTTCTTGGCTCAGTTCGAGCGTCTGTGTGCCGGTCGCATCATGGCCCCTTTGGAGCAGGCCATTGCTGATCTTGAAGCGGATGAGATGAAGCCAGAGCCGAAGCCGAGCGTTGACTTCTATGTATCTTCGGATTTGGATGATATTCGTCCGAATACTATTTTGCTCTCCAGAGAGCCGCTACCTCTATATATGACGGACGGTGCTCCGTTGCAGAGCCTTTCTCGCCCGTGAGCTTCTTTTAATTTCTCTATTCGCTTCATGGTTATTGAATAAATCGAGTATATTTTTCTGACTTCTTTTCCATTGTAGACCTCCAAATAAGATTAAGTAGATGTATTGTTTTATGTTTTGAATTCTGAATATATGTGCCAACCAAAGACAAAAGAAAGTAGATAGACTAATTGAGAGGATCTTTCATGTTGAAAATACATACGGAGGTTGGATTCTCGTGCCCCTTGCAGGCTACACGCATGGATCTATCTGATCTCAGATCGGATTCGAGCCATTCCCACTCTCTTCCCTATGTCGTGATAATTCCCCTAAATTGAGTCTAATTGAATCTCTTTGCTTTTTATTTCCTTGAAAAATATACATCACATCTCCCATGATATAATCAATCGAAATAAAATCGAACCCCTAATCGTCAAGTGGGGGCCAAAAATCGGCCGATGCAGCACGGCCCCCTCCAGATGAGCCCCCAATCACTTGGATGTCAGACTCAACACTCCAGGTCTAGTCCCATTGCTTATCCAAAATCCCAGCACCATGTCCTTATCGGCAGGTAGTCAGCTACCATGCCACCAAACAACCGCAATCCGCCTCCTAGCCGACTCCCTGTATGAGTCAACGCGCCGGTCAACGGGCCTAACGAACCAGGCCCAAAATGAGCTCGGCCTACTTCTGGCCGTGCTTAGCGCAACCGAGACGTATACTGCTTCTTTAGGCGCAGAATGCGTCCATTTTGCAGTCTTGAAAAAAAAATTGCACAGCTGTCATGTTGTCTTACTGGAATTGCAAAAACTATTGTTACATCCAGATGCACTTGGGGCTCAGAGTTTGACTTCTGATATTCGCGCGCGTCTCTCGTCGGTCATTTTTGGACTTACTGAGGTGAATTTAAACATGATGATGTGTGTTCACGATGTTCCGTGTGTGGGTTTGTGTGGGTTTTAACATTGATACAGATCATCGCAGAAGATTATTGAGCGCGCGCTGAGGTGTTTCGTCGATGACATTCGCGCTGGCAAGAGGGAGGCTTTGATTGTTTCTGATGCTTTGAAGGATTCTTCGAAGCTTGAGGAAGATGGTGTCTGGACTCGGCTGCAGGGAGAGTTACTCGCTACTGGTATTGCTTCGAATTTGTTGACGCTGAACCGGGACTTCGTTATATCGACTCTTCAAAAGATAGCAGATGGCTCACTGCCTGTTACTAAGGAGAACACAGCTCAAACAGAGAAAGCCCCCTATTTTATGGTACCAGAATCAGCCCTGGAACTGAAACAGCAGAGCAGCCTAGACGACAAAGACTGGCTAGCAAATGAACAACCTGGTCTTCCATTCCTCCCGCTCCCGCCAAAAGGCTTCTCACATTCAGACACGCGAAGCCCATTTTCAAGCCAAGAGCAGCCCTACCCTGAAAAAGAGACAATACGAGAAGAAAACTTCCCAATACCAGTGATATTGGACATGCAAGATTGCACAGATACACAGAAAGAAGCGCTACCAGTTGAAGACCTCTTCATCCCCGTTCTCACCGAGAGCAATTCACAAGAAAACGATGGCACGAACCTCCCAATACCAGTGACAGTACCTATCTCGCCCAAACCCCCACTAGATCTCGACGCATTCAAAGTATCAACGAAGTCCAAAAAGCCCCGCCGAATGAGCCGCCTTCTATGGGAGATAACCAGTTCAAAAACAGCCTTCATAGTCGCCATCAAATCCAACCAACACCAAACCGTGCAAACCCTCCTCTCCAAAGGCGCCGACGCCAACGCCCAAAAGACCGACGGTACAACAGCCCTAATGGCCGCCGTTTCCTTCGGCCACGAAGCCACAACCCGCGTGCTACTAGAATACGGCGCAGACATGAACGCACGGGCAGTAACAGGCGAGACAGCTCTCAATGTCGCCGCATCGCGCGGCTTCGACCGCATCGTGCGGATACTGATTGCCTCGGGCGCGAATATCGATTCAGGGAAGGGAACGGGCAAGACGGCGCTCTCGCAGGCTGCCGCGTACGGCCAGGACCGGATTGTGGAGTTGTTGTTGGACTGCGGGGCGGATATTGATGCTGTTAATAATACGGGGGAGACGGCGTTGGCGTCGGCGGCGTTGAATGGGAATATGAGGGTTGCGAGGCTGTTGCTTGATCGCGGTGCGGCGGTTGATCTTATGCGGTATCCTTGGCAGACGCCATTGTATAAGGCTGTTCAGTCGGATGTGTTATGTATGGTTAGGCTTTTGATGGAGCGTGGGGCGGATCCGTTTGTTAAGGGGGGCGCTGGGAGGATGGAGACTGTTTTTGGTTTTGCGAGGAGAATGCAGAGAAGAGAAATTTTGGAAGTTTTTGCGCAGTATGGGTATCATCCTGGGGGAGGGGGACCGGTTCGGTATCAGTATTTCTGATTGTTTGGGATCTATGGTCTGTATGTAGCATTTGGCATCTAGCGTGAAGCGATGTTGATCTTTATTTGGTTCTGCCTAGAATGGCACATTAGGTTCAGAAAATGTATTGTCTTCCTCAAACAAACTCAGAACTTAGGGAACAGTGTTTTTCTGTAGTTGCGAAGGTTCTTCTGGAGCTAAAACTTGAGAGAATGAGTGGAGCAGGTGTCTCTGGTTTCCCTGTTCCTGGGGGCCCTTGGATGATCTTTAGCCCGCCAGCTCCCTGGTATACTGTGAAAGCATCGAGTTGAAAGCCACAGATCAAATCTGGTCTATTTGATAATCTCCGACCGACAGGGAAAGGGGTGAGTGTTGCCAGAAGGTTACAGTCATTAATAGTCGACTGAAATAAAACACGCCTCTACTAATATATTAGTATAGGGATGGTCAAGTTACTATATTGACAACATTTAGAAGAAAATTCCATGGCACTAGTGCAGCGCAAACTCCAAATGGTTGTTTGACGACCACCACACGGCGATTAGTTGCAGACGGGATGCTGACCTCCCCACGAATTCGTTCAGCTTCACCGGCAACCCACCATATGAACCTCGATTTCGCCGTATGCCTCGCTCAGCGGCTTGTCGGTCTCGTACGTCAAAATAGTGGCCATGTCATCACGAGCATCCCAGATGAGCTGGTGCCACTTGAGCAGCAGTTCGGCCCGCGTTGTACTATGATGAGAGAAATCAGCGAACGCCAAGTTTTGAATATTCGACCGGGGTGAGAAGGGTAGGTGTGTTATAGGCAATATGAGAGGCAGAGATTAGGTGATACTGCCCTGTTATCTACATGTATGCCCATAGGCACTAAGGTACTAATGCAGGTCATTGCCAATCAGGCCCACGCGTTAGTCGCCCGCTCATGCAGCAGTACCCTGAACGAGGCTTGAGAGCCAACACAGCCATGACGAGGCACCTGGGCACTTCTGAAGCCTGATCCTGCTCTGATATTTTATGATCTCTGAGCCTAAAATTAAATACCTTCTACAACTATACCACCAAAGATCTGGACTTTTCAACACAAAACAGCCATGGACGGGTTGAGTGCTGGCGCAAGCGTCATAGCAGTTGTGTCGCTCGCCGCACAGCTCGCCGCAGGCACCCACACTCTAATCAAGTTTCTTGAGACAGTGTCGGATGCACCATCCGAAAAACAGCGCCTCGAAAGCCTTCTTGAACAGATCTACGCGATCGCGACATGTGCCCGGAACGCCCTCGAATACCAACAGAGACTTCACGGCGATAAGCATATTCTAGCGGACGGCATTCACACTTCATTGCTCAATTGTCAGAAAAAAGTTCAGAGGATTGAACAACTCGTCGATCGATTCAAAAAGACCGAGGAGGGGCGCACGGTGGTGAGTCGGAAATGGGCTTCAGTCAAGTTGGCTTTGAAGAAAGGAGATGTGCTTGAACTTGAGCGACAGCTTAGCCAGGCTCTCCAAATATTGAATCTCTCACTCACTACGCAGTCTTTGTAAGTAGGGCCTACACCATAGGGTATGGACAGTCCTTTAACGCGAACGGCTTAGGGCATCACAAACTCAAAATACCCTCCTATTGGTCCAAAAGATAGACTCCATCCCAGCCACAAATGATAAATCGAGAGGGTCTGATTCTGGACCGTCTTTCAGAACTACCGAGGAGACTCAATATGTTGCACTCCCGGGAAACAAGCTTAGAACTGCTACTAGGTTGTCTTTGAACACGTTCACACGCACTCATACCTTCCAATATTCTCATCACAACTTTGGAGTCTGCCGCATTACAGCCCAAAAGTCCACGAATACCGACTGCAGAGACTACCAAGACTCTCAATATCAATCAACATCAACAAAGACAACATATTCTATCAACCCATCCTTCTTGTCCATGGCTATAAATGTCTTCATTCGCAGCTCAGGAATGTCGGGTTCCAATATTAGCGCCACAATTGTTCCAAAAATCTCCCAAATGACGAAGATAAGGCTATTCGATCATTTACGACAGGGTGATATATCAGGCATTCAATATCTTCTGAGGAACAGGGATATATCAATATACAATGAAGACCTCGTGTTTGTGAGTGTACAAGTTGTTAATATTGAAACTCTACTTATTGTCTTGTAGCAGGTAGCTTGTTCAATTTGGCAATCCCCCTCCGATGAAAAACAGGAAATCTGTAAATTTCTCGTAAATCAGGGCTGCCAGGTAGGAACCAGTGATCTATTTTTCATAATGTAAGTCTCTACCTCTACGCCAGTACAACGCTGTAATAACCTGCGTACTCATATACAAATGCCTTTTGGTCAGACTTATGTTCAAGCGCAATCTGTCGAAGTATAAGTTTGACAGCATCTTCCAAACTTTCAAACTCTTGTGTCCTAAAATTGAATATGCAGAGGAGCCTATCGACACCTTTCTATGCTTTCCCGGCCACTCCTTCGATGCCCAGCTTATTAATTTAGTGGACTGGCTAGCTTTCACGGGCGTGCAAGTGACTACTCTGCCATCTGACTTCTACCTGGGGTCAGCGCTCTCATTCCTAATGACAACATGGAATAAACGAATGAGATATGAGCAGCGAGCAATGCATCGTGAGCTTGCCAGAAGGCTTGTTGCCGCCGGTGCAGACCTACACTACAGGAGCTGCCCCTTGTTAACACTACTTCAGACTCTTGTAGCGCATACCCCGATGCATATTGCGCATATCGAGCCTATTTCTGAGTGGCTAAACCTTCTCGTGAGCTGTGGGATTGATATTGAAGATTATATGCTCCATGAATCCCACTTCTCTCACCTCAAGCCATTCGTGATTGACCTCGTGTTCAACTTTGAAGCTATCGTTCCTTTGAAAGACCGTATGATGGCAGACCCGTACAGGTGTATTGACACGTGGACCATAAGGATTGAACCTGACAATACAGGCCACCTGAACATACAAACTGGGCGATGGGTGAACCCAGAAAGCTCGGTCACTTTGCTTTTGGAAGAATTCCAACTTTGGGCAAGCTCGATCATCATCCCTGGCGCTGATTGCAATCAGAATAGACATCTTCCCCCATCGTGGGAAGATAGTCCTCAGGATCTGAGAGACGTACCAGTCGGGGCATTGCACATGTTGGACAATATGGCCTGGGACTTCAAAAAGCCACAGAACGGTATTTCAATATTGCGTGCCGACCGAGACAATATCTGGATCCTGAACCAAAGTTCCACTCGATTCTCAGAAGGATTCCTACAGAATCTGGCGATGAACCCTGAAATTCTTATTTCGGCTTCTCCGCGACAGACTACACATCGATGCAGCGAAAGACTGCAAAGCATTTCCTACACTGGGGGAATGCCTCCCGCAGAGGACGCAAAGTCGGCCGAAACTTTCAAGCTATCTTTTAAAAGCTACAGTCAGAACCAGAAATTTTGTCACTGTGATGCCTTCGGGAATTATTTGGATCTATGGCCGTTCCATGGGAGTACACATACCCTTTGCCAGACTGGAAATAAGCTGCACCAACCATGTCTTGGATATGGGGATCCAGAGAAACACAGCGAAAGCTGGTGCCAGACACACAAATGCAAATTTAATCATGCAAGATTCGAGAGAAAACAGGCCCAAAAACATGCAAAGCGGTGCAAGTGCGAGGGAAAGAAGTTTGCTCAGTTTCCGATGCCAGGCGCCTGGCCAACTTGATCCATCTGTGAATCAATTATCGCTATACACATGAAATTCGCATACTGTTTCATTTATTCTCTTGTTTAGATGCTACATGTACACTTCTATCGAATTTCTAAAGTTACCTGTGACAAAAGATGTTCGTATACAAGTCTTATATACAAAAAAGACGTCAAGTAATATTCTTTGTCGGACACCCACAGCCCCTTACAAGCTCCGCATTAGGTGCAACCCCCTTAAACTTCTCTGCGTCATACCCCGCGTAATAATATCTATTCCAAACTCAGTCTATAGTTTTTTTTTTAGGCATGACTCTTGGAAAGGGTTTCTAGTTGATGATTGAATATGGCATGAACATGGGAGTTGGGTGATTGGCCGAATCACAGAGCCACACAGCAAAGTATACGGCAGTAGCTCGACCATACACTAGACAACTACTCTACGCTTGATATTTGAGGAAAGGATTCCTCCAAGACCCATTTTGGGCATTCTCCGAATTTATCCCCAACTCCAGCGGTATTACCCCAAAATATCAGCGAGTCTCCATTGGTTCGCCCCCAATCAGGGACCACACACCATGCATTGCAAAGGATTTTATGAAAAATGCACTAGAGTTACTGATCTGCCAAGTTGTGCAACAGCTACCTTCCGGGTCTGTTTGCAATTGCTAGCGCTGAATTCCTCAATATGGGTATCAAGGCAGGACTAGATCCCCGGGTTTTGTCTAGTGTCTTTGCAGCCGGCACGGCTCAGGATAATATCTGTGATCGCTTCAATCCTTGTCCTGGTGTTGTTCCAGATGCCCCCTCGAGCAATGGATACCAAGGTGGTTTCAAGGTTCAGTTGATGAAGAAGGATTTTGCACTTGCGGTGGATTTGGCTGGTAGTGTGGACGCTACACTTGCCTTGGGACAACGAGGGTTAGAGACATATCAGGCCGCGTCTAATGATCCTGAATGTTTTGACCGTGATTCGCGGGTGATTTTCCGTTATATCGGGGGTGATGAGAACTGGGCACAGAAGTTCCAGCAATGAAGCTTTGAAGTCGTTGTACATAGGTGGGCTGCTTCTTTAGAGAAGCAGCTATTAGTTCCTTTTACTATTATATCTATCTCCCGATACCTAAGGTTCCACACTAAAGTTTTATTAAATGATACATACATGTCTTTACACTATATTGATCTTCTTATATCTCCCCTAAGTTTATTGAGGGTTGGAATAATTAATATATTGCCCATGTATCTTTTGTATGGGTAGGCCATATAATAGATACCTAATTTCTAGATGTCCCGTTTGGTGAAAAAGTGATGTTTGATGGGGCATTGATAGGCCGTGCCGTGATAGCGGTGATGTTCCGTTCCGACAACGTCAGTCCTTCCCGCCCCGCTATCCTTCGTACCTAAATTCATAGCACAGATCTAGCCATGTTGTCAGACTTATTGACGAGTCAGTATCTGCAATACAAAACAGATACTGAAATTGTAGCCACATGGCTGGCGAGTACTGCAAAGCGGTGTGGACTCGACGTGAGCGAGGGAGACAATAATCAAGGGACTGGGAAAAGGGCAACAGGTCGCCTCAAAGGGAAAGCCAGAAAGACTGCTAAGGCTCCACCAAAGCCCATCCCAGCCAATGAGAACAGCAAAATTCTGAAGAAGTCAAAGTACACCATCACCGTCAAGCAATTCACGAGCTTTGCGGAACATATCGCCGGGTACGACAACCCCCCTGTTGGGCCTGTGGAGGTCTCCCGAGGCTTCAGTCTAGCCCTCGACCGTGCTATTTCTGCACGCCGCGAATTCAGAAAACATGGAATTGAGGAGGAGGATGAGGCTTCCCAGGAGAGCCATGGATTCTTCGTGGACGTCCTTGAGCGGGTCCGTGAAACCCTGCGCCCACTGATTCCCAAGAGGCAAGCGGATACTCCAGCAGTCGAAAAGGATGAAAAGTCACTGGCCAATAGGTTCGAGCATCTTGAATTGGAAGAACAATCGGAAGCCTTCCTCAATGCGCCTGATGCTCCTAAGCCAGCGGCACCAGAGAAATTCACAGATCCTTCAGCTCCCGATGTCAAAGCGGAAGCGGACCTCGAAGCTGAGGTTGATCTTGACCGCCGGGAGACCATTTTCATGTTCCACCTCTTGGTCCAGGATGCAAACGCCTTCATGGATATTATCGAAGAAACATGGAGGGGATACAAAGTTGGACGTGTGGACCTTGTATCGGCTTCTATGACTACTAACACCGCTATCGATCTCCTCCGACGCATGGAAGAGGAAATGAAGCCTTCCCTTGATAAATTTGGCGGTGGGGAAAAACTCATTGAGGCGTATTACTTTGCCCGATGTCGTCACTTTGGGGAAGATCCCGACTACAGAGAAAGGCCCAGTGATGGCTTTAACTTCAAAGTTTATGATCAAACGCAAGACATTTTCATCTCAGCCTGGCAGCTTCTCCGATCTTTCACGGCAATATGCGACCCGCACAACTCTCCATTTTATAAACCGGGCTTTTATGGAACCTACGACCCTGAAAGCGACCGCAAATCAAAGCCAGCAAGGGAGAGGTTTGCTGAAGATATGCAAATCTTAATGGAGGCATTTCCCGAATTTTACCTCCTTGGATTCTGTGCTCAGGGGAACCTTGCCGAAGATGAGTTGTCGCGTGGTCTAAAGGCGGCTTTCACTACTAAAGAACACCCATTCTGGCTGGTGTTTGCCGTCCAAGTCTTCTTAGACATACACCATGTCCTACGTGATCAGGTTTCTCGAGCATTCACCGAGCTACAGCGAAGCGCAATGACTATGGTCAATTCTATTGGGTCGACTCTTAAGATGCACGAAAAGCTCCGCATCGAGAACTGGCCTCTGGAAAATGATATGGCATTGCGACATCTCCAAGCGGAGATGAATTATTGGTGCGCAACAGATCCATTGCAGATCGAAAAGGCACGCCTAGGTCGACCTACTGGGGAGGCATTCCGTCTTTTCAAATGGCATCCTCTTTTCTGCGGCCTGTTACTCTACCGCTTCAAAATGGTGTATCAAGAGGCAGGGATTACTTTTGCTGGGGCCTGGGGTTCCGTGTTGTACTCGCTTCATCTGTATAACGCTCTAAGACAGGAGAAATTGTTGACAGCGCGATGGGCTGATCTGGACATGTTACAAGCGATACACCCGGAAAGCTGGATTGGTGGGCCTCCACGAACCCCAGATGATTACATCAAACGGTTTTCCCTCAGTATGGGATACTCAGCGGCAAACTTTGCCAAGAACCGTCGAGATCAACGTCCTCAGGCCTCGAAGAATGGACCCAAAAGCCTGACAGAACAGGGATCTGTTGCCTTGATGTTCAAGGAACGCTTTTGTCATGGCTCCAAACAAACTGACATGACACGTGCAGATCTACAGACTATTGTGGAGAAAGCCCAGTGGGGAGCAGATACTGATGGGGATAGACCCTATGACATGATGAAAGACGTTCCCGGGGACATTGTTAGGAATCCCACACAAAGGGGTCCGATCCATGAATCCCATGAATCTATGTCCGCGGAAACATTGCTTCGCAAACTCCGGCTCGCCTTACAAGGCGAGGGGCCAGAAATCACGTTCGACTATTTCGTGACCCACCGGACCTGTTGGCTGCTTCTGACTAAGATCAAAATGGCTTGTGCAGACCAGCTTCGCGTACTCTTCGGGACAGGCTGCATTGAGAAGGAGAATCAATTGCCCTGGATGATTGGCTATATTTTCCTTGCGGCAAGTGGTGTGGACCGTGCGGCAAATCTGGCTCCTAAGAAGCAGCCTGGCAAGGTGACATCCCAGCTAATGTTCACCGCTGCTAACGTTCTTGATTCCATGTTGGCTTCTGGAATGGGGGCTCTGACGTGTAGAATTTTGCGTGAGCGCCATGATATTCACATCAGCGAGGACTCTGATTCAGAATGAGGCGCGGAAACTGAGACTGCGAGGGAGGGCTGGGTTGAGTCGCCCATACTACGATGATAATGATTAAGCTATCTCCGTATCATCCTGCTCTACACAAGAGCTTGTCGTATTTATTGAGTTCGATGGTTCTTACCAGTGGATGAGTATGATCCATACATATTTGAAGGAAAAAGCAATATGATATTCTACTATTTTAAATGATATCAATCAAGTGAATACTCTTAATGCCCAGAGACTCCATTTAGTGACCTGGCTTACGGGCCGCTCGACTCTTACAGAATATGCCTAAATGATCTGTTCTGTTTATCCGACTGGTCGACGAAGATAACCTACCTAGAGTACTCCCTACTTTTATAACTACGTAGTATGGGAGAGACATCTAACTAGGATAAGCCGTATAGAGATTAACTACCTTTACTACTAGAGAAGTAGATAGCTATAGGTTAAGGGTAAGGTGGTAGCTAAATTCAGATATTAAGTAAAGAGACGAAGAAGTTTAACCGTGACGGTAGTAATTCATAAGTACATAACGGGGCTTATCACTGTCTAACGATGGCCTTATGTACGAATTCCTTGCCGTAGACGAGATCCAGAAAATCGCAGTTCTGGCTAAATAGAGGTTGTCCAACATGGACAGACCTATCAATTAGATCCAGTCCTGCACCTGAACGGGTACCTGCACGACATTGTGTAGCTTTTGACATAGTACTCTCCCGGTGAGAAAATACGATCAACGGGAAAGTGTCCTCCGAGGGCATAGTTGGTCTGGATAGCTTCCAAGACATTTCGAAATTTGCCACTACGTCATGAAGTTTTAGTTTTCGCGTGGTAGCACAACTCCTCCGAAACTAACACATATTCAGAAGAGCTTTGAAGCTATACAAATCAGTTCTCTAATATGTCCAACAAAAGAGATAAAATAGTACGTAGTATGTTAAGAGATGATATAAGTGCCTGAAAACAGCTATGTACCTGCGGATCCGTTCCCGTCGCTCCACATCCCCACTGGAGCTTGAAGTCCAGAATCCAAGCCCTGAAGGTTATGCATTTATTCAACAGGACTGGAATAGAAAAAGAATCAAAGCACAAAACTCCACTTTTAAAAAAAACAAGTAAAAAACCAAGAAGGACAAAGCGTTGAGGGGTTGATGTCACATGTTGAGGTCCCCCCGCTGGATTTCCTTGATCTGGACCCCCCAGTCTTCTCTCCACCTCTCCCCCAGCTCTCCCCACCAGATATGTCTTCTACCATTGACAGCTCCAATATTCCCACCGATGGCACAGGTAAGCTTCAAATTACTAGGATCTTCATATCTGTTTCCAATTCTAACAAAAAATAGGTGTTATCCAACTGGATCCTTGGTTGGAACCCCATCGCGATGTCTTGAAGCACAGATACCAGGTAGTCGAGGATTGGGCCAAGGCCATCAATGAAACAGAGGGTGGCTTGGACAAGTTCAGCAAGGTGAATTGCATCTGCATTGATTGTTGTTCTCCAAACTAATGCGCTTACCAGGGCTATGAAACCTTCGGACTACATGTACAACCTAACGGAGAGATCAAATACCAAGAATGGGCACCAAACGCACAAGAGGCTTCTTTGGTCGGCGAATTTAGTACGTTCTATGTACTGGCCATATTTGAGGAGCTTGACTGAGACTGGCAGACAACTGGGACGTCAATGCAAACCCCATGACGAAGAACAGCTTCGGCATCTGGAATGTAACGGTACCAGCGAAGAACGGTGCTGCCGCTATTCCCCACGACAGCAAGATCAAGGTAAGCACATCAGCCCTATGCATCAATAAAACACCTCACCAATAACCCTATAGATCTCAATGGTGCTCCCCAGCGGCGAGCGCATCTATCGACTCCCCGCTTGGATCAAGCGCGTGGTCCAAGATCTGAACGTGTCGCCTGCATACGATGCCGTTTTCTGGAACCCGCCCGCAGAAGATTTATACAAGTTCCAGCACGCGCGGCCCAAGAAGCCTGAGAGTCTGCGCATCTACGAGGCGCACGTCGGCATCTCGTCGCCGGAGACTAGGGTCGCTACGTACAAGGAGTTTACGAAGAACATGCTGCCCCGTATTAAGTATCTGGGATACAACGCCATTCAGCTAATGGCTATCATGGAGCATGCATACTACGCTAGCTTCGGGTACCAGGTGAACAACTTCTTCGCGGCGAGCAGTCGCTACGGATCCCCCGAAGATCTGAAGGAGCTTGTTGATACAGCCCACAGTATGGGGCTCGTTGTGCTACTTGATGTGGTTCACAGTCATGCTTCCAAGAACGTCATTGATGGACTCAATGAGTTCGATGGAACAGACCATCTCTACTTCCATGGTGGTGCGAAGGGCCGTCACGAGCTGTGGGACAGTCGTCTGTTCAATTATGGAAGCCATGAGGTGCTGCGTTTCCTTTTGAGTAATCTGCGCTTCTGGATGGAAGAGTATAAGTTCGATGGATACCGCTTCGATGGTGTGACTAGCATGCTCTATACGCACCATGGTATCGGAACGTACGTGCATTCCTCACTATATTTTATAACAGCCTGCTAATGAAAAGAAACAGTGGTTTCTCCGGTGGATACCACGAGTACTTCGGACCATCCGTTGACGAAGAGGGCGTCACATACCTCACCCTCGCCAACGAAATGTTGCACGAACTCTACCCAGAATGCATCACAGTCGCAGAGGATGTCTCCGGCATGCCTGCACTGTGTCTACCCCACAAACTAGGCGGCGCCGGCTTCGACTACCGCCTCGCAATGGCCGTCCCAGACATGTGGATCAAGCTCTTGAAAGAAAGCACAGACGACGAGTGGGACATGGCCAACATCTCCTTCACGCTCACCAACCGACGCCACGGCGAGAAGACCATTGCCTACGCCGAGAGCCACGACCAAGCGTAAGTCCAATCTTCCATCATCCCCCACCCCATCCATACACAATTAACCAACTAACACAAAACCCCACAGCCTCGTCGGCGACAAAACCCTAATGATGTGGCTCTGCGACAAAGAGATGTACACCCACATGTCCACACTAACCGAATTCACCCCCGTAATCGAGCGCGGGATGGCCCTCCACAAAATGATCCGTCTCGTAACCCACGCCCTCGGCGGCGAGGGCTACCTAAACTTCGAAGGCAACGAATTCGGCCACCCCGAATGGCTGGACTTCCCACGCGAAGGCAACGACAACTCCTTCTGGTACGCTCGACGCCAACTAAACCTAACCGAAGACCCGCTTCTGCGGTACCACTTCCTGAACGAGTTCGATCGCGGGATGCAGCTGGCCGAGCAGAAGTACGGATGGCTTTCTTCGTCGCAGGCGTATATCAGTCTCAAGAATGAGAGTGATAAGGTACTTGTCTTTGAGAGGGCTGGGTTGCTTTGGATCTTCAATTTCAATTCTAAGAAGAGCTTTACGGATTATCGGGTTGGTGTTGATGTTCCTGGGACGTATCGCATTGTGCTTGATACCGATGAGAAGGAGTTTGGTGGGCTTGGGAGGAATGTTAAGGAGACAAGGTTCTTTACTACTGATATGGGGTGGAATGGGAGGGGGAATTTTGTGCAGGTTTATATTCCTACGAGGACTGCTTTGGTATGTTGTCTGACTGTTTTTTTCCCCCCTCTCCTTCTGTCTTTGGTTCTTGTTTGCTGACTTTCTGTGTTCCTTGCAGGTCCTGGCTCTGGAAGAGACTCTGTAATGTGAACGCCTATTCATGTCCATGTCTATGTCTTACATGCAGCCGAGTCGGAGATTGAACATCTCGTGTCGGTTAGTCCCGGTATTGAGTGTTGTTCTTCGCTAGTACGGTTGGCGTGATTTGACCTGACTTCTTCATTGTGTAATGTCCTGCATTTTGTTTCTAATTACGGCTATCTATGTCTAGCAATGTCTCATATCATATACACTGTTTTTATCAACGCATTTTAAATTGTAGACTGGATAGAGAAAGATTTTAAGGGAAGTATTCTATTGGGTTCCTCTATAGGTGTAGAAAGATGATTCCGAGGCTAAGTCTCTGTTAATAGGGACCATAACCTAAACAAGGAGAGTGATCAGAACGAACTGGGATACATACAAACAAGAGCGGCCTAATGATGGAGTTGACTAGCCATATAAGAATGAGTGGACATCCCTCTCTAACCATCAACTACACCACATTACACCTACAATAACTACACCTACGCCTACTAGAGCAATATAACCAAAACCAGGACGCAATCACAAAGGAAATGATGTCGAGAATCAGGTTTTGAACTCTAAATACACAAAATAATGAAACACGCCGGTCGAGGGGGGGTTTGTGTAAGGTATCTCCAATCCAGACCGGCTTTAAAATCCCATCAGCTCGCTAAGATAGACGAACGCATCACCAACCTCCCCCCAACCACCATCATAACACCTCAACACCTCACCTCAACCCCAAACACCACGATTCAGCCGTCGGTCCATCACCAGACATTTCATATTCCCTTGCTCGGGTTCCTTTCGGATCGAGTCTAGAAAGAACACAATGAAGATTCCAACGTTGACGAGACGACCATGCACTGGAAATTGGAAGTGAAATCAAATCCCTTTCTTGTTGCATTTTGTTTTTCTCTTAGATCGGGTAATGTACATGGTAATATACACGCCTCGAAAAAGGGAAAATGATGTTGTCGCGTACAACGTTGGAACACTTTGAGTGTTCTGACAAAGGGAATTAAATGAAACCTGGGAGAACCAATAGAGAATAGGTGAGGGATAAGAGGAAAAAGGAGAGGAAGAGCTTGAAGATGGAAGGGGGAAGTTAAGACGGCGCTAGCTAGCAAATGACAAAATTACATTTAGGCCTTGTTCTCAAGCTCAGCGAGAATCTTCTCACCCTTGGCGCGAGCGGCGTTGATGTCACCAACCATGTAGAAGGCGGCCTCGGGGAGGTCGTCACCCTCACCAGCAATGATGGCCTTGAAGGAGGCAATGGTGTCCTTCAGGTCAACGAGGGTACCCTCGATACCAGTGAAAACCTGGGCGACGGCGAAGGGCTGGGACAGGAAACGCTGGAGCTTACGGGCACGCTCGACGGTGAGCTTATCAGCCTCGGACAACTCATCCATACCGAGAATGGCAATGATATCCTGGAGGGACTTGTACTCCTGGAGCATCTGCTGGACACGGGTGGCGGTAGCGTAGTGCTCGTCACCGATGATACGGGGGTCGAGCATACGGGACTTGGAGTCGAGGGGGTCGACAGCGGGGTAGATACCCAACTCGGAGATACCACGAGACAACACAGTGGTGGCGTCCAAGTGAGCGAAGGTGGTAGCGGGGGCAGGATCAGTCAGATCGTCAGCGGGCACGTAGACGGCCTGGACGGAGGTGATGGAACCCTTCTGGGTGGTGGTGATACGCTCCTGCATGACACCCATGTCAACAGCCAGGGTAGGCTGGTAACCGACGGCAGAGGGGATACGACCCAGAAGGGCAGACACCTCGGAACCGGCCTGGGTGAAACGGAAAATGTTGTCAATGAAGAGCAGCACGTCCTGACCCTCCTCGTCACGGAAGTACTCGGCAATGGTCAGACCTGTCAGGGCAACACGGGCACGGGCACCGGGGGGCTCGTTCATCTGACCGAACACAAGGGCGACCTTGGATTCACCCTCAAGCTGGATGACACCGGTCTCCTGCATCTCGTGGTACAGATCGTTACCCTCACGGGTACGCTCACCGACACCACAGAACACGGAGTAACCACCGTGGGCCTTGGCGATGTTGTTCTAAAAGGTCCAAATATAAGTATTTCATGAATTCTCAACTGGGAAAAGAAATGGGGAAATTCTTACAATCAGCTCCTGAATGAACACGGTCTTACCGACACCGGCACCACCGAACAGACCAATCTTACCACCACGGGCGTAGGGGGCGAGCAAGTCGACAACCTTGATACCAGTGACAAGAATCTCGGCAGAGGTGGACTGGTCGACGAACGCAGGGGGCTCGGCGTGAATGGGAGCGAACTTGGTGGCCTTGACGGGACCACGCTCGTCAATGGGGTCACCAGTAACGTTGATGATACGGCCGAGAGTGGCGGGACCAACGGGGATGGTGATGGGAGCACCAGTGTCGGTGGCGACGACACCACGGGAGAGACCCTCGGTACCTTTAGATGAGATTAGTTGAAGCTCCCATTTACAGCAGGGCCACACTCGGTGGGTCCCCCAATCGGGTAGGGAACGACACGGTGGCCCGAGAAAGGGGGAGGAAGGGGGTGAAGCTTACCGTCCATGGCAATAGTACGGACGACATTCTCACCCAAGTGTTGCTACAAGGGAATTGTTAGCTTTGTTGCGATTTGAATCAAGGTTCAGCCAATCAGATCACGTACAGCAACCTCCAGAACGAGCTTCTGGCCGTTGTTGGTGGTGGTAATGGCGTTGTAAATGGCAGGGAGCTTCTCGCCGCTGAACTTCACTGTAATATGGCGAATAGAAGGTCAGATACGGTTTTGTTGATGATTTTGGGGTTGATTGCGATGGTTTCGGTGATGAATTGGGTCCAGGGAAAAGATTTTCGCGTGGTCCCCAATTCCGTCAGGAGTCGACAACACGTACCGTCAACGACGGCACCAATGACCTGGTGAACCTTTCCAGTCAAGGCAGCATCGGAGCTAGCGAAACGGGCAGTGAGAGCCGGGAGAGCATTGGAGCGGATGGGCTGGAAGGCGCGGGCGACGGGGGTCGTCCGGGCAAAAGCAGCCCTCCCAAAGGACCGGGCGAGACCGCTAAAGAGAATAAAAAAATTAGTTTCAAAATGAAAAAGAGATGAAGATTGAATGGATGATCAATTCATACCTCTTGAACATAATGACGGTGTTGAAGAGCGAGATGTGATGAAAGGAAGAGGTGAGGTTGGAACGGGAAAAGAGGGAAGAAGAGGAAGGGAAGAGGTTGGTGGATGGGGACTGGTCGCCCTTAGCCTTTCCGGGGCGGTTTTGCCGACGATCCCGTGATGAACCGAGCACCAACTTGAGCTTTCTACAGGGAAAAGAGCTTAATTTTATTAAATAGAATGATTTTTTATATACAAATCTTCATCTCTATCGATTTTAAATATCCATTGTCATTAATATCGAGTGGTGAAGTGGTGACCGAGGGAAGCTCAGCCCGTTGCCCTGGAATTCGCGCACACACACCGGGGCTTGGCGGCCGGGTGCAGGGGAGCCACAAGTGTATTTTCTTTCTAAATGACATTCCCCCGAAGAACCTTGGAAATCTTCAAGATATTTAAAGAAAGGAAGCTAACAGAGTAAGTATTCCAATGGTATATATCATGAAAGTCAATGGCCCTTTGGTCCGAATATCGGAAAAACTCTGACGTGTTAGGTCAATACCGGGTAGAAAATATAGAATGGACCTTACGGAGTAGTTAGATATACACTAAAATTATATTCAAAGCTAAATATTAATGTCCATTATATTCAGTAGAAGTATAATTTATGATTTGGATTCATATTTATATATGTTTAGATGTTTATATTATCTCCATTTCACATCTCCATAGAAACTAACCCTTATTATTCCTCTGTTACCCTCGAAACCCGTGTTCCCGCAAGGATTCTCCGCACTTACGTGGGTTCCGAATCACTCCGTAGACCACGCCATTTCGGAGCGCAGGGCACATTTACACGCATTTTATATCCTAATAATCACACCAAAGCTCATGTTCTATGGCTACAAAAGAGATACATTGATTATAGCACAGTACGGGATACACGCATTTTCCAATGCTTGCCAAAAAAGATAGAATGGGGGAACGGTCGACGGCCGCGCGCACGGGCGGAGGCCCATCCTCCGATACAAAACACATGTCGAACATGGCTATGGAAAGAGTAGCTTGCAATAAAATCGACATCCAGGTCGTGCGATGGGTGCCGTCCGTCCTGCGTAGATATCAAATCATTCCCGGTTGGGTAACGAGTACACCTATGACTTCTCAGCAGGGGGGCTCTGGACGAAGCCCTTGCCTTCGTAACCCTCTTTGCTGATACCGTGGATGGGGTTGATCTTCTCTTTCTGTAGTCGGATAGGTTAGCATCGTCCAAATGGGCTGGGACAGAGACTTCTCCCGACTGTGGTCGGAAAGGGGCTGGGGGGATATGTACCAGAGCATATTCGTTGGAGGCCTCCTGCCACTCCTTGGACATAGTGCCGGGCTGCTTGCCGGCAAAGGCGTGAACGGCGTAGAAGAGGGCAACGGAGACAGCAATGAGCTGGGTCACCTTTGCGAACACGCGCAAGCCCTCACCCTTGGGGGCCTGGGCGCGGGGGCCGTGGGCGCCGAAGGCAATGTAGTAAGCTATAGCAAAGGAAGAATTGATGTTAGCGAAAAAATGACTACTTGTAAAGACAATTGTGGAGGTTCGAGGGGTCGGGCCATCCCGAGATAAATAACCTCGGAAGCCTCAGGGTAGTCGAAGCGAGAGGCTGTCTTTCAAGCCCACCCGTTCTAAGGGTAGCACGTACCGGCCTTCTTCTCCTGGAGGGTCATCTGGTGCCAGTCGACCTTCATGCGGTCACGGAGCTGCATCCAAAGCTCGGCCTGCTCCTGAGGGGGCATGACCTCCCAGCGCTTCTCGATGTTGGCGAGGGTAGGGTTGGGGATAGCATGGTCCGAAGCAGCGCGGGTCTGCAGAGCGTTCACAGAGGCAGTCGGGGCAGCACGGATGGCCGCGGTGCTGCGAGGGACAGCGCGAGAGACGGTGCGAAGAAACATTGTGCGGCAGGCGGGAGGTGGCAGCACCACGTCGAAATCGGGTTCAATTGAGGTAATTAGAGGGAGGTCGGAGGGTTGAAAGCCAGAGAGCACGCCAGGGCACGGCTTAGGAGAGAGTGGAGGAGGATCGTGGATGGAGTAATGACTTGAAGACGTTTCTTGTGGTTTGAGGTGGAAAGGCGAGGATCCGGTCGGGACTAGTGCGGTTTTGGTTTGGCCGTCTCCTCATTGGCTCATCGCCCAAACCGGCTCTCCCTACCAGTGAGCATCATCATCATTCTCAGCCATATGGCATGATGTTGATATTCTCTATGTGGCTTATGGACTTTTTTTTAATTTCGACCTTTATTATTCCTCTTATCGCAAATTTCCCCAGTTTTAGCCGATCGTTCAAGTCTTTTGACCATCGTCGGAATCTTTACCCGCCTATAAACTAGCCCAGTCAAGCAATAACTTTTGCAGGAAAAGCTAGGAGTTGTCCAGTTGCTTAACTATTCTACATTCAACACCATGCATCCCGAGGTCTTGTCACCCACCATGTGCAATATAACCAACAGGCAGCAAGATTCGGTGCCCAGTTAACCAAATACCCTCAATCTGAGGTGGAAATCCATTCAGAACGATTGGAACAAGCTGGAAGTGAAATCAAGACTCTTCAGGCCTCTCGCGAAATGAGAAACAAACACGGGCCAAGTCGTAACGGTCTTGCATTGCAACTAAGAAATTGGGAGAACGGTGTGCAGAGAAGGTTATGAATTGATCGTTCCGCGGCGCCGTCAGGGGCGCACCCCTATCAGTCGCGCAGCCCGGATCCAGCCGGCGCTATCATCTATGCCTTGCCACCGCTGGCCTCCTTCAGGACTGTCTTCCACTCGATATCGGACTTGTCATCGGCGTGGATGGAAGTGACGACGTTGAGGGCGTTCTTGAGAACCTCGCGGGTGCTGGCGTAGATCATGGACCACTGAAAATGAAATTAGTTATTGAGTCTGAGGCTGAGTTTGGACTCGGGGTCTGGTGGGAATCTTACGAGAGTGGGGGTCTCGCTAGGCACCCAGGAGATGAAGATAATCTTGGAGCTGTAAGAACAATCAAGTCAGCGTGGTGTCTGAGACCAATTGCAAACATGGGAATGCGCACCGCTTGCCCTCGCCGGTAATCTCGTACTCGACATCGTAGACGGCGTAACGGGGGGAGGCGCGGCCCTGGCTGTCCTTGGCATCGGCGAGCTCGTTGCGGAAGACCTCGTAGTCCTGGTCCTTGCCGACGGAGTCTACGACAACCGACTTCTTGTCGTCGGCGATCTTGTAAATGATGTACTTGGTCTTGCCGTGGCTCCGGCTGAAGTCTTGGAAGGCAGTGATGCAGTCATCCTGGATCTGAACACTGTAGGGGGGGGGAAATGTCAATAACTGGTGAAAGTGAGGGGAAACCGGTTGCGAGCGCGGGAACCGATGACGACTTACCCGGATGCGAGCTGCGCGATATCATAGTCAGTATTGAATATGGTATACCATGGATTTGGAGGTCAATACTAACCGACATGATGGCTTATGTAGATGAGGGAGACAAAAAAAGGACGGGGCTGTCTAGCGCTATGTTAGTGGCTGTGATGGCCAAACTCAGGGGGTCCCTCGAGCTTCTTGGGTTTGACATGAGAAGTCAAAGTAGTAATGCACTCCAATGACTTACAGGGATTGAAGGAGGCGGAGATCAAGCAACGGAGACGGATGAGACGGGGAAGATGGAGTTTGAGGGGTGAATTGTTTCCCAGGTGTTGCCATGGCCATAGTGGGGGTGGCTGCACGTGATATCAGACTTTTGATAATTCAAGTGCTCGGTACCTGTTTACCAGTTGAATGACGTGTAGGGAATTGATCTAATGGGTTTTGTCTTTAGGATTTTTAAGATTTCCGAGGCTGTTGAGGTTTTTGACTTGAAAATGACATATAGTGTCTGGTATGATCTGATAGTGAACGGTAATTGCGTCCTCACGAGTTTTTTCCTTTTACGTCCTCGAAGTACCAGGTACTCCTTACATTATGTACATTCGGGTTTGAAATCAGATCTTAGCCTATAGCTGCATAACATGTACAACATACGGAGTACATTCGAAGTGAGCCTCTCCAATGTGGGTGTCTGCGGGCTAAAATTGGCCGGCCTTCAACCATGGGACACGTCAGTGGCTATTTTTGTCCTGGCCCACTGCATACTCCGTATGTTCTACATATATTGAGAAGCAGATTTTACTTCCTATTGTTTTATTGTCTAATCATAAATATTTAATATGCATATATAACTAAGCGAGAGTAAAAATTTAACTTGGTAACAAATATATATACTAACATAAACCCCGCAGGAATATATGCATAGCTTCATACCAAACCGATATATATATCAGACCAAAAATATAAAAACACGCAAGTACCACATTTGACAAATTCATTTCTCATTCCTTAATCTAAACAACATTAACCAATTTAACCAACTACCTAAATATGTATGTAGGCATGTATCAACGCCCAACCCCAGTGCCTAGATACATACAAATGCAATGCAATGCAACCCAAACCTAAACCTTCGCTGCCGGCGCAAACCTAGCCCTCATCTTATCCGCAACCAGCTTCTCATCATAAATGAAATTAACACTCTCTTGAGCAATAGTCGCCTCAGCCCAACGCTTAAACCTGGGAGTCTGCTCCAGCAAAGTCGACAACTTCGCAGAAACAAGACCATGCTCCGGCTTAGCGAAGCTCAAAATCCGCAACAAGAACGAGCCGGACTGAACCTCCGCCAGCGTCAACTTCTCACTACCACCAAAGAACGGACCCTTGCCCTCGGTGTCTGCCAGAAGGGGCTCAACCTCCTTCACGATAGCAGCGACGAGCTGCTCGGCGGCGGCATCGCGCTCGGTCTCATCGGCAGCGCGGATACTGGCGAAGAATGAGGGGAGGACTTTGCTGAAGAAGGCGTCGACGAAGAAGTTGAGACGGGCGCGGTAGAGGGCGTTCTCGGTTGGTGAGGAGGGGGGCAGGAGGTGGGTTTGGTGGGCGTCTGCGAGGAACTGGGCGACAATGCCCGACTCGGTTATGATGGTTCCATTGTAGGAGATGGTGGGGACGAGACCGCGCTGTTGGGGATGTTAGTATACTAGTTGTATAGAAGGTGTAGTATGCAGTGTAGGTGGTGTGTAGATGGAAGAGTGGGTGTTGGGAAGAGCGCTTGTCACTTACTGGGTTGATCTCCAGATACCACGGCTCACGCGGCGTGCTCAGGTCGATTATGACTTCTTCATACTCAAGGCCAATTTCCTTAAGGGCGATGTGTGCGCGGTGAGCCCAAGGGCACAGGTGGTTGGTGTAGAGGATGATCTTTGGGGAGGACATGATGGATTGATATGATATGTTAATTGGGTAGGAGTATAGGGCTAGGAAGGAAGTTATATAGAGGAAGACAAAGACACGCCATTATAAAAGACATTGCGAAATGAGGGGTTGGATTAGTAAAAAGCAATTGTTAATCAATCGCGAAATCGACCGTTAACTCCGATTTCCCCGTTCCCCGTTCCCCGTTCTGAGATGTGGGGACCTGAAGAAATGGCATCAGGTAATATTTTTGGGTACTCCGTATATATCTAGGTAATAGAGAAATTATTGCACCTTAATTAAGGCCCTGTGATAAAATTGGTCTAATTATGTACATACATTAAAGCGTGCACTATATGTGTCCGATATCTTCTGACCAAACCACCTTCAGCGGCGCTCATCCATCGGGGTATAGAAAGTAGTCTCAAGTGGCAAACCGATGTGTAGTACGTAAAAAGACCGGAAATGTGCTCTAGGAGCAAAGAGCACATTGACCGAGCCCGATGCGCCAGCGACCGGTTCCACACGGATCAAGTGGAAGAAGATAACGAGAAAAATGTCAAAATAAGGAAAGGACGAGATGACCGTCTAAAATGGGGGGTATATCGAATACGAGTATAAAATGAGCATTGAGCTGATCGCTGAGATCGTGCGCGAGGATGACCAGCCAGGGCGTAAAAAGCACCGGAAGACGAAACAGAAGGATCAACACGCTGTCGTCAAGACGTAATTTTGCATGAAAACTGAGAATTGAGAACCGTGCTCAAACTTCCTCGTCTTCCTGGCCGCCGTCGATGATCTTGTGCCAGTGCTGCGGTAGACAGATACAGACCAAGGGGAAAGCCTTGATCTCGCCTGACAGCATGGGCGACGAACCACCATGCATACGCGAGCCACTCGAGACACCACTGTCCCGATGTTCTCGGTAATTCGTTTCTTGGTCCTCGGCGCGCTCGGGGAGTCGCACACCCGTCGCCCAGCCATCGTCCCAGATGCCAATTACCTTCAACATCTCACCTCGGTCGAGTTCGAATTCGTCGCCCGCGCGTGGTGAGTACGCCCAAAGAACGGCAACCTTGTCGCCAGCGTGAATCTCATCTTGGGAGTAGTAGTCGCGGAAATAAGACAGCTGCTCAGATCGACCACTGGTTACTCCTTCGGGAGAAGAGTATTGGTTCGTCAGGCCGGAGCGAGGCGAGCTGTCGCTTTCTAGTCCAGCCAGAACCGAGCTGCTCGACAGTGAGCCATGGCGTTTCCCCGTCACCGGTGGGATTCTCTTGGACATAGCTCCTGGACTGGCGCCCCTGCCTTCAGAGTCTGACGTGTCGCTGTATTTGGCTCCACCGCCGTACATCGCCGCGGAGGTACGGGAATAGGCGGGCGATGACGAACTGGGCATTTCGCGCAATGCAGACATCCGTGTGACTCGGCCTCCAGGGACCATGTTGTACGACGTTGGGCTTGGGGGCTGCTGCGTTAATGGCGATCCACCCTTCCTTTGTGGGTTTGGTTGGTTGAGAGCAGCTTCGTTTTGGGTCTCACGACGACGGCGGCGCATGCAAATGCAAAGGAAGGCGAGGAGGGCACCTAGAATGGCGGCTCCTACAACGGCGCCAATGACGATTCCAGCAATCGCGCCGCCGGACAAGCCATGGCTAGGAGTTCCAGTGGCGGAGGGCGAGGGGGTGAGAGGTGGTAGAGTAACAGTCGGTACTGCGACACCGTCACAGCGAGTCGTGGCGTTGGATTTCGTGCAGCAGCTATCGGTGCCGTTTGCACAATAAGTGCAGAGACCAATGGTATTTGTCGCAAAGCCACAGTTGTCAGGCTCATTCGCAGCTCCTTTGACACATTCTCCAGAAAGGGCGTTGGATGGTTTTTCGCAGATAGTCAATTCGGCGTAGATTAGGTCCGTGTAGTTCGTGTCGCTCTTGGTGCATAAGTTTGTATTTGCCATTATCTCCTGCTCACTCCGGGCCCAAAGTGCGCATGTATCGACGCAAATTGGTACCGAGTGAGCGGTGGAAAGTTTGCAGTCGGATATGGAGCTTTGCACGACACTGCTACACAATACACTGGTTGTATATTGGGCATAGTAGTCGTTGGGCGCGCTTGAATTCATACCTTGGCACCCCAGTAACTCATCATACCTGAGAGCTTCTGTTAGTGACTCTTTTCTCGATACGTTGGTGCCGAAACATACTTTGTTGTGACATATGATCCATTGACATAGTCCTTCAATGAATTATCGAAATCCGTCAGATTCGATACGCTTTTAAGGAAAGGGCTAGCAGCGCACTGTCAGCAATCGTTTCCCCCCATGCCTAATCATGTGTGATTCCACTCACAAGTCCGTGTATAGACTGGAACTGGTTGAAATGGACGAGCTACTCCAGGCAGGACAGGCACTTGACCCCTCGAGGGAAATGCATTTCGGCATGTCGGGCAAAATTGGCGGTCTGCCTTAGAAATGGACCCCTTGGGGTTATATCGGCGCGGAATGTGTCAAGTTGCGATCGAGAATGTTCCAGACGGGATGCAAATCGGGATATTCGAATGGGAGAATTGGATAGAACGGTCGACCCCAGGTCGAAACTCAAGCTTGAGAAGAAGAAGAAAAACGCGTGAAAGGCAGGTAAACGAGTGACTCGGGGTTCTACCCGGAAGGAAAGGTCAACCGAGCCCCGTAGGCCTGAGTTCGCAGAGGGAGAAGGAGATGACAAGACGAAGTTCTAAGATTGGAGAGACAAGATTAGGCCTTGAAGAGGGCCTGGGCTTGTGGGTAACAGGGGGGAGATGAACTGCTGGGAAAAAGGGCAATTATGAAACACGGGAAGCAGGCATAATCGGCTGTACAGGTTCAGAGACGCTAGGCTCAATCTTGCTATATTCTGTATGGAATAGAGACAGGACTCAGACGAAGTAGAAGACAATAATGTGATAAAAGGGGGTGGGGGGGGGGGAAGTAGAAGCTCCGCGTTGTTTACCTTTTTTTCCGTCTCTTTATTCTCTGGACTCTTTGGGTATCAAAATTCAATTGGGACTGAATTTCTACTTTGTACTTATATGGTACGATAAAATACAACAATGACAACGGTTATTAAAGTCAGTTATAATTGGCAATGGCTGTTGTCAAATTCTGACTCTGTTCCTCACCAGCCTCGCTAACCCGTTAGCGGCTCAGGTAAGACGATCGTTATCACCCTTCGTCTAAAAAAACTCCAAAAACTGGGGGATACTATTCGAAGCTTAACATTTATTTCCCGACTTTCCCTTACCTCCTGCACAGAATTTGGCAAAAGATGTAGCACATCTCAACGTTGTGAGGTATCAGTTGAGAATGCGAGGGACTGATATGCCGGAAAACGGAGTACAGGGTACCCTGTCTCAAGCAGCAGGTACCCGATAGCCGCATGTACCAGGTACTTACGAATTTAGTACGTGTTGGTCAACGCTGGTCCCCGCTTGGGCAGAGATCTGACGAGTCTAATTTGTATACGTTGTAGATCATCAGATCAGTAATACGTACACCTTACTTTGAAGTAATGAGAAAGTATGTATAGAAAGTCATACAATATCTAGCCATGCAGTCATGTATGCCATGTACAATGTAGGGCTCTGGCAAATTATCAGGTCATGTGACCATTGACATCATCTGATCTGGACCAGGCTGCCGTCAGACAATCTGCGACTCCAAACTGTGGGAACCCTCTTTGACCATTGCCACAGACTTCCAGTGTACAAGATACAACTCACATTTTCTATCAGATCTCAAAGATACCCTGAGCCATGTGTAGCTCCGACATTTTTCTAGCGGTACTCGCCGTCTTCTTCCCACCTATCGCAGGTAAGTCTAAACCCGTAATCCAACCCACCTAATACTCGATAGTCCCAATGCTAACCAAACCCTTGCATCAACAGTCTGGATCAAGACCGGATTCTGCACCGCAGACTCGATCATCAACATAACCCTCACCCTACTCTGCTTCTTCCCGGGGCTCATCCACGCATGGTACATCATCCTCAAGTATCCGGAACAGAACGATGACGATGTAGCCTACGAGCCCATCCCCGGTGGCGGGAGTCGGCGTCGCGATCTGGAGAACGGAAACGTTACCTACTACTACGTCTCACACCAGCCTATCCAACACCCCTCCCAGCGCGGATATGGCACAGTCAACCCTCAAGACCAGCAGGCGCCTGCTCCGGCGAACAAATCCCAAACCCAAACTGGAGATAGCGGGAATGCGGGGAGCAGCAGCGCGCCTCCACCACCTACTTATGCTGAGGCTGTAAAGGGTGACAACAAGCTGCAGAGTCAGGACTGAGAATGATGATCGACTCGTGGGCTGTGCTTGTGGGTGGCTACTCGACTAGCCATCCTCTCTCATCGCGTTACTTTGCTTCCGACCCGGTTGTACTATCCATACCCCTCCGCTTTGCTGTTCTTGTACACGCACTTCCTAAGAACTGCATCGTTATGTTATGACTTGACGAAGGAATGTGCTATGTAATTTTGAATTTTTGAATTTGTTACTGGATGTGTATCTTTCTCGATTGTATGTTTTTTTTTATAAGGCTCAGGATGCGTGATACTATGCCAATACCTTTTATCCTAGCCTTGGAGGCATCTAGTACTGATTGGGTCTCTGGTTTGACAAGTCCTAGATATAAATCATTTTAAAAACTCCACTCAAATAATTTCCGCGTTGACAAGCTGCTATCTGTTTTCTTTGGATGCCGAGATTGGGCATGCTTACCTCAAGTCGCTTAAAGGGTGGGATTGGTGTCTTTATCCTAGATGAGGTCAACCATGGTAGATAGATGTACATAGCCATGCAAAAGAACATGCAGGACATTATACGGCGCGAGTTTGCAGGATACACCGTTGTTATGATTAGCCATGGGCTGGACATGGTTGTGGATCCATCTTGACAAGGGTTTGGTAATGGATGAGGGCAGGCGCATAGAAGAGGGCGAGCCGATGCAATTGATTGACGAAGTGAGCAGTCGGCTCAGAGAACTGTGCATGATTGGGAAGCATCAAAGTATCTCGGCATCTGAGTAGGTTGTTTAGAGTACATGTGGCCTCTATTGTTTGCTCTCAGCTTGGCTTCGCTCTCAATAGATACTATATTGCTCTTTCCTACGCATATTTTTCCAGTACCTCAGTATTTTTGCTCTTATTGTCTTTGCATGTGGTTTGTAGCCGGAGCTATGGATGTTGGTGGCACACCAAATCCGAGGAAGTGGGATAACCCAGGAAAAACCAGTTGACTAGGTAAGTTGGAATACTATATACAATTGGGCAAATATAGTACAAAATAAAATATCTCAAGGTCATATTCATAGAATCTTGAGAAACTTGCTACGATGACCTACAATCTGATAAGGCTATCCGAGGCCAAGTCCCGTCCCGAGATGATCCTCAACCCTCTCTTTGCACCACCACCACTTCCTGCCACAACCCTGTGGCCCTCGTTTTGGCCATGCAGTCTATGCCACAGCTGCTTAGGCAATCACTCCGATCAAGCCTCCAACTCACAAGCACCTCCTCCCCCGTGCGAGCGCACTTCCGCCCTGCATTCTCCGTCACCAGATCGACTCCGCGGAGCTTCTCCGCCTGTGTACAATGTCAATTCCGCCGACAGCCAGGCTTATATTCGGCCTTCAATGACCGAGAGAAGTTCTCCGCCGATACCGAGAGGTTAATCAGGGAAAAGGAGAAGGAGCTGGCTGATCTGGAGCTCGCCTCGCGCGACCCGGTCCCGATCCCGGGTTTGGAGGCGGGCAGTTCTCTCGATTCGGTACCTCCTGTCACAGAGACCGATCAGACCACCGCACAACCACAAACAAAGGATAACGAGAAGGAGCAGTCAGCTTCGCAAGAGGAAGATGCTAGTGCTGCTGGCACGAGGAGCGGAGGCCTGCCCTCGTATTTGGAAAGCCGTCGGTCAAAATGGTCCAAGCAGTTCAGCACAGTGATGGACAATGTTCAATCCAATGTTTTCGTAGCTGGTCAACGTTTAAATGACCTGACTGGATACTCCAGCATCGAGGCTCTGAAGAACGACATCCAGTTCCACGGTATGTAGCATGGCACCACCGCCCAAACCTGATCCCGCAAAACCCAAGATATTAATCCCACAAAATTATACAGAGAGCCGACTCCGCACCGCCCGATCGAAGGTCAAGCAAGCAAAAGAAGAGTACGCCGCAGCGATTAACCGCCGCTCAACTTCCCAACGCGAAGTAAACGAGCTCCTCCAACGCAAGCACGCCTGGTCCTCAACAGACCTGGAGCGATTCACCCTCCTCTACCGCAACGACCACACAAACGAGGTCGCTGAGACCGAGACCTCGCACGCTCTATCGGCCGCAGAGCGCGAAGCCGAAGAGGCAGCTGGACAACTGAGCAAGAGCATCCTTTCGCGATACCACGAGGAGCAAGTCTGGTCCGACAAGATCCGTCGCATGTCGACATGGGGAACATGGGGACTAATGGGCGTGAACGTTCTCCTATTCCTTGTCTTCCAGATTCTCGTGGAGCCGTGGCGTCGGAAGCGACTCGTCAAGGGGTTCGAGGATAAGGTTGTTGAAGCGTTGGAGAAACAGAAGGCCCTGAACCAGGCGATGTTTGCCGAGAACGCTGTTTCGATCTCGGCCTTGCCGACTACCACTATTCTCCCCGAGGTTATTGATTCTACCGATGAGAGCTTGGTTGAGACTGCTCCTTCTCTTTTGATTGAGCCGAAGCTTGCTGCCGCGGAGACAGATGCGTCTACTACGGGATCTATTGTCTCGGTGACCGATGCTAATGCCTCCCAGTCTCTCCAGACTCGTCTCTCGAACATCAGCTCACCGGTTCTGTCGCTCGAGTACTGGAGGCAGGTGGCCAGTGAGTTCTTCAGTGATCGCAGCATTGCTGCCTCCCAATACGATCTCACTGCTGTGGCT